ATAGGATACAAACAACTAAATGAATACCACAACATTTGTAACTTGCAGTCGTAATATACATCCAAATGTAAATTGCATCATTTTGAGTTTTATCTATGCAACATCGAAAATTTACAAAACTAAAAATTTAGTAACCGGTAAAATTTTTTTTCTTGCCTGTTTGCGACTTGACGGCCTCGTTAAATAACTTTCCGGATTTTAGGTAAACACACATAGGTTATGTAACAATATATAACTATAAATCAGTGCAGAAATAATGCAATAAACTTATTAATAGGCGTATTATTTTAAGAAATAATTGTGTACCAGATCAAGGGGAAAAGGGAAAACGATTTAATAAAACGAAAAAACCTATTTGATAAATTTTGAAGCTGAAAGTTCAAAAACTCGATAAATATGTATTCTTCTACAAATCCGGTTTGACACCGAACACGTAGAATTAATTTTATTCAAATACCTTACCGCGGGGGAAATTATTACACCATGTGCATTTATAAACTTTTGGTCGAAACCATGTATACCGACATAAAAAAAACACACATGATAAAACAATCAATTCCTTGTTTCACTTAAAATCTAAAATAAATATCATTGAATATACGACTGCTGTACGTTTTTTTCTACCTATTTTTTTTTTTTTATATATATAGAAATATTAATTACTCTAATGTAAAATAGATATGTCCTAAGCGATACTGGATTATTCAGCTAGTACATACATACATATATGTCAATGAAAATTAACGAGAAAAGTCACTGAAGTGTTTCACAACAAAAAATTATATAATAGGGGAAAGAAAAAAAAAAATTATGGTTCTAACTTATCAAAAAATACGAACTCTATTTCATATAATTGCATCAATGTTATCCTAAATTAGATGGATTGGCTAAAAAATTTAATTATGTATTAATAATTATTATTTTTCGATACTTTTTTTTTATGTATATTTTTAAAATTATGTTTTGTGGTAGAAAAAATCGTTTTCATACCATAGTAGAATTGTAGTTTCTTTGAATCGTAATAAACCGGGTGCTTATAGAAACATTAACATTGATATTATAAGGTATCAGTTTATTTTTTTATTATAAATATATCATAGTTCTAATGAATGCACCCAATTCATTATTACTTATGATTCAAAAGTTTACCTATGTTATAATATTTTTATTATATAACTTTTTTTTTTTTTTGTTTTGTTTTCAAACCTGTATCCAATCAGTGATATTTAAATTAACATTTACTGTTGTAACAGGCGATATAATTTTCAGTATTTTTATCAGCTCTACTGTAATAGAATATAATTTCATCACTATAATAACTGTTAACTATAGATAATTTCTGGGTGTTAAGCATACATATTTAACATCCTCTATAAAAATAAAATAATCAACAAAATAATTGTTGTCATAATTAAATATACGTAAAACAACTTCAATAATAACGAACTCGATTAATTTATCATGAATATGTTTACAACTTAATCAAATTTTATGTAAAAAATACTCGATTATTAATTAATTTAAGGAAATGACGATTTTCATTAAAAATATGTTAAATTATTATAACTATAAGTAAATAGTCCATCACAGTTTATCTATTTTTGATAGTTACGTTTAATTTACTAAGAAATAAAATGATAGTAATTTTATGCATATAAATATATTTAAATTATTTTTCCCTACCAAGTTTTATTAAAACTTGTTTCAGTTAATAATTTAAAAATAATGACAGTCGATCAAATAAAACGGTCTCAAAATTCCAGGTATAGTAAAAAAATATTTTCTAAATTCCAGCATATAGGTTGTTATTATTAACTTTTAATTAAAATTTTAACTTTAAGTTAAAATTATAGTAATTATTATATATTTTTATCTCTATCGACTTGGTTTAGAAGTTAATTTGTCTAAACATTTAAAATTAATTTTTTCATAGGAACCCGACGCGTAAATTTTTTTTAACTTTTCATAACTATTCAATGTACATTTTGTAAAGAATTCTGTATGAAAGTTGATGCAAAACCTGTAGAGCGCATACCGAAATGGCACTGATTTTTTTGCCGATCTCCAAAGTTTTAACTCATACATATGTCCATTTAAGCTTTCGGAGAATTTTGTGTATTAATATTTTGGTTTTTAAGCTATTAAGTTTATTTTTTGAATATCAGAAATATCAAATTAAGTAAGATAAAAAGGAAAATTACTTAGGTATAACATTTAGAGTGGAAAGATAAATATACATGGTGAAATCGAGAAACAAACATAATATATTTAGCAAATCGAATTCCGTGTATTTGACACGTTTGTGCATAACATGACATTTGATCACTGTATGATCAAATTCAATCATCACTCTATTACAAAAAAAGTGATAGATACGTGTTCCGTTTGACATTTTTGATCCAAGAACGATAAAAGAAAAGTGTAACGATTACCGATTCAATATATCTACATTTGGTCTTCCTTATTAAAAATGCAGTCTAAATGCATTTAGGATTAATAATAATATCTTCTTAGACCTAATAAACGTATATTTGTTTGAACTTACTATAAGCATATCGTTTATCGTTTAGTATAATTAGTTTTTTATAAACGAACGTACATCCCAGTGAACCGATTATTATTTATAATGTCTAGTGACAGATTTTTCCAGGGCATCTGACACTTAATATTGTTACCTTTGGTTGGTCAAGACGCCACTGTTTTTTCGTAGCACGATCACGCTAGACCTGATTTTACCATTAACTGCTATTTTTTTTAAAAAATTTCTGCATAATACTTTTCGCTAATTTCTTTCTTTTTAACTTTCATTACTTTTTAGAACTTACGCTCGTAGCAAATGATCATAGCACCGCATTAGCCAAAACTATATTATATACTCATAAAAAGTAAAAGCCTGTCTTACTGAAAAAAGAAAAAAAGTGACTAGGTGCTAAAGTAACATACTTTTAAATAATGCTAAAGATTATATTTAAGAAGGTTATTAAATCAGTAAACATAGAACAATCAAGATTCAACTATTTTTGCTACACTACTTGTCCATTTTTGACATGCTTTAGTATTTCATTACATCGCATGCATAAAATAAAGTTAAGTACAAATAAAGTAACGTGCTACTGTAACGACGCCACTACCGACCACTAATACCGTGGCGTAAGCAATTATACAAAACACATGGTATGTGATAGGTACCTACATACATTTTTTTTTTCACGACAAATAAAAATTGAAAAATTAGAAATTGAGAAATATTAGAATACCTATACTGCCAATTCTATAATACTGTATCATGTAATTATCATCCAGATTATCTGTATTCAGTTACTCCCTCACGAAAGTGAGAGTTACAAGGCTTGCAACTATATTCAACTATTATTTGTAGCTGTATACCTACTATAAATAGGATAGTTAATAAAAAGCCAATAAACAATATTTTATATTATTTTATTTATAAATTACGTTATTTTTATTATTATCTGTACAAATAATTCATGAAACACTTTAGTATTTATCATTAATATTTCATTAATATAATACTTTCCCATCGACAAAAAAGGATACTCATTTGTAGGTAAATTTGTAAAAATTTTATTTAAAATTTTTTTTAAAAATTTAACCGTAAATACAATTGCGAAAAATATACGTAAGTATATCTTTGTCTTTTTTTTTTTGCTTTGCCATTTACACAATAAATATATCATACAATGGTAGTATAGAACTATTAATATAGTACGTCAATAAATTGCAGTGACCCTGACTGGTCTGTATATCTAATCTATGGAAAATTGTAGCTGTTCGATACCAATTCTTATTTTCTAAGACTAAATATTTAATAATTAAATAGCAGATCGAATTACTTAACATATATATTTAGACTTAAAACCGTGTTATTAAAATCATATAAACCAATAAATGTCTATCATTATTGCCATTGCTTAATATTTATGCATTTGGATACGCGTTTCAAAAAATTTTGAAATTTTTTTTTGACTGGAAATGTTCTTAACTCATGATGCTCACGTTTCAAATTTTAAATTGAATATTTTTTATTTGTACAGCTTAAAATATAAAAAATATGTATACAGGTTTTCCCATTTGTTTGTGTAACATACAAATATACAAGATTATTAACGTCATACTAATCATATGGTTATAATTTGATACCATATCAAATAAGTCAGTTCAAATTTAAATGCCGTAAACTCTTAACAACTTATATAATATATAAACATTTAGTATGATTCCGAGTAATTTCTAAGATAGTTTTACGAAATGTTTTCCTAATATTACACTTCACAGTGTATTAGTTTTCCTTAAATAGGAAATACTATTCGGTAAATTGCAATTCATCCTTTATTTATTTAAATTTTTTCTTACCACAATTCAATTAAAAATTTCAACATTTTTTTATTATACTCATTATGTTTTTAGGACATTCCACCGCGGTCATTTCTTATACCACAGTCTAATCTAACTTTAATTACAAACAGTCACGTGTTCAAGATTAAAAGTTGTTTTTTTTAATATATCACATCAATAAAAAGTGAATCATATTTTTATATAAAATGTAAATATACAGTTGATATATATTTTTTTATATATCTTATTTTTAAAAAAAAATGTGTTTGTTAAATTATATTATGCTATTTGTTTTCGAATCGCAACAAAATTGTGATTGAATAATTCACAATTTAGAGAGATATGAGCGTATACACAACCGTATAACTGTATCTACTTGTATTATCAAAACATGAAACGTAACAATATTAGTAATATAATTGTATTACAATAACATACGATAAGAGCTCTGTTGATAGTCAACTACTCTAAACTGTTAAATTCTCACAACTAAATCAACTCACGTCGAGTGGTCTTCAGATAACTACTATGCTCAGCACAGACACACAAATATATAACAATCTTATTCTTAATTTATTCTTCTTAAATTGTAACTTTAAAAATATGTATTAATTATTCACAATAAGTATTACTAACAAAATAACTAACTTTTGTTTTAACTTTGAATAAAATTTAATATTTGTTAACAATAACCTAATATTATAAATTAATTGTTAAATCATACGATTTGAATTATAAGCTAAACTGTAAGTAAACACAATAGAAACTGTCAAACAGTTATAATATTTAAAGGCGATGATTTTCATCATTATTTTATTTTATCATATTTTTAGTATATTAAATGATGTAAAAAATTTTTTCTTTCAATTAATGGATAGAGTTCAATATAAATGATTAATGACTAACGATTTTCATTAAATTGTTAATACAACACGCCTCATGAAACGATGTATAGGTAAGTTGTTACAACATCAATGAATTTGGTTTATTATCAAATAAATTATTGTTGTTTCAGACTAATAGCGGATGATAGTAACAATAAAAAACGACCACCGAATCCAAGAACAAACGCTAATGCTTTTGAAGTTCTTACATTTAGGTAAATCGATAGTATTTTAATTAAATTATATTTAATTTAGTTATTTGTGTTTATAAAAAAAATTAAACAAATAAATAACTTGGAAAAACTTTATAACGTTTATTAAATAAAATGTACAATCCAAATTAAAAATATCTTTTTTATTCAGTTGGATATTAAATCTATTCAAAGTTGGACTGAAAAGAGATTTAGAAGAAAATGATTTGTACTCGCCATTAAACGATCACTTGGCGTCGTTGTTGGGCAATGAATTAGAAGAGTAAGTTAAATAAAAATAAACATTATGTTCAAAATAATTTTAATGCATTTAATTTTCTTTTCGATTTTAGGAAATGGAATTTAGAAATTAACAATAAATATCGAAATCCTAGTTTATTGAGAGCTTTGATTAAAGTTTTCGGACCTAAATATATGTTCTATGGATTTCTGCAATTTACAAATGAAATGATTAAGTAAGAATTAAATATTTTATATTATTTATCAAAGCTATTGTACCTATGAATATTCATATTTTTCAATTTCAAATCTAATAAAATGAAGTCAAATCACATACTTTATAAATCGATAATTTAATTTTTTTTTTTATTTAATTGAATGAAATATATTGTCACCCTATACTAACCATAATTAAAATGAAACTATAATAATTATAAAGTTATTTATTAAACATATTCGAAATTCTTAAAATCCTATGCCTAGACATTTTATAATTTTTTTTTTAATTAATTTTCAATTTTTCAATAGACTGGTTATTATATCAATATCATAATAAATGGTAATACTATTCGTCTTTAACCATCTATATAATTATGTTAAAAATAAAAATTATAATGTGACATTAATAACATTATGATAAAACTGTTTAAAACGAACGTCCATATCCTTGTGGAAGTATAAATAAATAATTAAATAATTAATAAGAATATAATGACTTAATTTTTTTTAATCAATTGTAAAATTATATTAAAACGCAATAAACTTATTTTTAGTATAATGTATCAACAGCATTATTTATAATAACAACCTTGGTCATTTACATTTTTCAAAATCCATCGTTTATCTCTTATACTATAAACATAATTTTATATCAGACTTACTCTTAACAGTTTAATTGAATTAAATAATAACCATTATGATATGAAACACAATTATTTTATTTTTTAACGCAACTAGCTGAAAACATCGATTACCGAAGCTAATTTGAAATTAACATTATATCACTTTTCTAACACGTATACAATTATAATCCGTAACATGATTATTATACTTTTATTTGTAAATATTTTATAAAATTAGTTTTGATTCGGATTAAATAATTCGACTATTATTTGATAAGATGAAATGTTGTTTACAAAATAAAACATTGTACAAAGTGTTAAGTATATCCAGATTGTTGATTAATTTTATTTTAATTATACTATCAAATAAATAAAAAGTTCTCGTGAAATTTGCATTTGATTGATTTGGTTCTCATTTGTTAGTATAACATTGCAATTATTAACGCAATCAGTTGACGTTTTAGTGTATTTAATGAATTTATAATTATACGTTTACAATGTTTATTAAATAATCGATAATTGAATAAATATTAATAATTGTATATTATTACAATAAAAACCATTATTATTGAGATTTGAAACGCTCTGTAGGATCTTTTTTATTATTTATAACCGATTTCAATCTTCAGTATAATCAACTTCTTAATTTTTTTAACACACAGTTAGCAAATTAAAGTTTATCAAAGTCGAATGTTTTGAATACAGTACAATAATTTTGATTTATTTTTTCATTCCACGAAGTTCCATCTATGGATGGCTCTTACGTCAAAACCTCAGCCAGAAATAAACTATATTTAATAAATATTTATATACTATATTTATACTATATTATATTTTTATACTATATTTAATAAAATATATATTTAATAAACAATATTTAACTTGTTTCATTTTTTTTTTTTTTATTGGCCTGAAAAAAATAGCACTTGTAATAATTACTTATAATAATTAATAATAATTATTGTACAAAGTTTACAGACTATACATTTTTAAATAAAATTAAAATAATCCTCAGATATATTTAATAATATATAAAACATTATGTAATACACCATTCTTATATCTTTTGCGTGTGTTATTCCTTAGAATGTCTCAACCTCTACTTATTGGTGAACTGTTAGAATTTTTCAACACTGGTGGTTCCGAAGAAATTGATTTAGTACACGCCTGTACTTGCACGTCTGGTCTAGTGTTGAGCATGTTAATTACAACATGTTTACGGCCTTTATATAACTTAGAGTACTTACAATGTGGAATGATGATGCGGGTTGCTAGCCGTTCGACAATATATAGAAAGGTACTCTATTATAAAACTGAACGAAAAACGAAAAATATCTTTTTTATTGTAACGACAATATTTGTGTGATAAAACTTTTTACCTTATTCTTATACACACATAAATTATTGAGCAGTAACACCTTTATAAAACTTTTGTTTTTTTTTGAAATGTTAATTAAATGTTTCTTAGTATTAAGTACCTATAATATTAACATCTAAAAGAACATTAAGATATTACTCATTATCAATAAATATTACGTTAAATATTACATTCAAAATAATATAGGATTCTTTAAATTATTCACATTTTTAAAAATAAATTAAACTAAACTAATTAATTTTACAATTTATAGTACTTCTAAATCTTTAATTTTTTATTTCTCTATACAGACCTATCTCATTATTTATTTATTTATTTTTAAAAAATGTATATTTAAATTTATAACACACCAGGCCTTACGTCTCACGGCTCTTGAGGAGAAAACGGCAGGCCAAATCATAAATTTGATATCAAATGATGTAAATCGATTTGATTCAGGAATAGTGTATTATCACGTATTATGGATTGGTCCCTTGCAAACAATTTTAGTCACATATTTTTTATGGCAAGAAATAGGTTTGTGTTCTTTATTTGGAGTTGCCACGTATTTATTATTCATACCGTTACAAGGTTTGTACTACAATTGTTGAACTTTAAAAATAAATTATACTTTTGAATAATAAACTTAATTTAATTGCAGGTTTTTTGGGAAAAAAAATTTCAGAACTTCGATTGAAAACCGCTATTAAGACCGACGAGAGAGTGCGCTTAATGAACGAAATAATTTTGGGCATACGAGTGATTAAAATGTATACATGGGAAAAACCTTTTGCAAATCTTATAAAATATGCAAGAAAGTAGATGCAACCTTTTATAACAATTATATTAAACTATTTTTTCGAATATACTCTTTATTATTCTAGGAAGGAAATTCAACAAATTAGAGGATCAGCGTATATCAGAGCGATTTTGTTATCATTCGTAGTCATTCAAATTAGATTTCAAATATTTATTAGTATTTTAGCATATATTTTACTAGGACATTATATGAACATAAAAAAAGTAAGCTAAAATAAATACTAGGTAATTTGAAATTTCAATGCTGTAAATTATATCCGTGTAAACCAACGTTTTAGTTATTTGTCATTATTTCGTTCTACAATTTACTGATAATGACAATGGGTAATTTATTCTGTCAAGCTACGACAAAAATGGCCGAATTATTAGTATCTATAAAACGAATACAAGTATGTCAGTAATTATTGATCTATTTTAAAATTATATGAGTGTACTTGCATACAACTTTAATCAATACAAATTTATTATAAAGAATTTTTTATTACTGGAAGACAAAGATGGTCAATTGAAAAATACTACTAAAAAGGACGTAGGTTTAAAAAATGGCACGGAAGATTTAAGTAATTTTAGCATAGCCATTTCAAAAGCAACTGCTAAGTGGAAAAATAATCAATTGAGAAACACTTTAGAAAACATCGATCTCACGGTAAAATCCGGTCAATTGGTTGCAATAATTGGTCCCGTTGGAGCTGGAAAAGTATAAAATTTATTATATGGGAATTACTATGATAAAACTGGAATAATTATTTAAAAATGATTACAGAGTTCATTAATACAAGCCATAATACGAGAATTACCACTAATCAAAGGACAAATTTCCGTTAGTGGTGTAATATCTTACGCATCGCAAGAACCATGGTTATTTACTGGATCTATTCAACAAAATATTATTTTTAATTCACCAATGGATAAAGATCGTTATAAACAAGTATGTTTTTAGTATCAATAATTATTTGATATCAAAAACTCAATTTTCTAACTTGTTTATAAAATAGGTTGTAAATGTATGTGCATTACAAAGTGATTTTGAACAATTTCCTTATAGTGATAAAACGATTGTAGGAGAAAGAGGAATAAACCTTAGTGGAGGACAAAAGGCTCGAATTAATTTAGCTAGGCAAGTAAGAATTATCAAATGTTACAATAGTTATATAAATGTTAACATTTATTCGATTTTTATTTTAGAGCTATATATAAAAAAGCAGATATTTATTTATTGGATGATCCTCTATCTGCTGTTGATTCAAAAGTTAGTAGGCATTTGTTTGAAAAATGTATTAAAGGTAGTATTAAAAAAAAAATGTTATGGATGAATAGTTAATTTTTATTTTATGTTTATAGATTACCTAAAACAAAAAACTTGTATCCTCATTACTCATCAAATTCAGTATCTAGCTAACGTAGATCAAATTGTTCTTATGGAAAACGTAAGAATAGATAACTAATTGATTTCTGTACTAAAATTTACTTATAATCCTATAGATTTTATATTATTTTTTTCCTACAAGGCTAATATATTAGCTAAAGGTTGTTATCAAGAATTAAAAACTTCTGGCTTTAACTTTGTTAAATTAATCGGATCTACAGAAGATACAATTGATGAATCACATACTACGGCAACCAAGTCAAATTCAAATACGTTTCCTCTTTTAATAATACAAGATTCTAAAAAAAATTGCATATATGAAAATCCACGTGAAGATTTATCAAAACCTAATGAAGAATCAGAGATTTGTACTACGGGACATGTATCGAAGAATGTCTATAAATCATATTTCTCTGCCAGCGGGAATAACCTCAGAGTTTTTCTTTGTTTTTTTCTGTACTTTTTGGTTCAAGTTCTGACTACCGGTGGAGACTATTGGCTTAGTTATTGGTACCATATATAGCCTAAATGTATATATATATATATATTATGTTGAATAATTTTTTTCTAGGATTACTCAGGAAGAAACTTTGTTTTATAACACAGATACTTTATCTACAAATGATACTACAAATGATAATCCTAGGATAAACTATATATCTGATACTTATTTACCATTAATAAATAATCGTCAAAACTGTATCTTGATTTACGCAGTATTAAAAATCATGATGCTAATAGCAGTTTTAATCAGTTCCGCTGTATTTGTATCAATGTGCACGAATTCTTCAGTAAATTTACACGATAAAATGTACAACGCTGTTACTAGAGCTACTATGGCTTTTTTTAACTCCAATTCTTCTGGTAATTACATGTCATTTAATGAATATTGAATATAATATAATACATAGCATGCAATGTGTACACATTTTCTTATATAGGAACGATTCTGAATCGCTTTTCTAAAGACATAGGAGATATTGATGATGTCTTATCATCAGTTTTATTGGATTGTATAAAAGTAAACAAATTATTTACATGATTCAGTATTTTTTGCTATATTATCAATATTAATGCATTTTAATGAATAATTAAAATAGATGAGTATGTTATTACTTGGAATCATTTTCGTCGTTGGATTGGCTAATATTTACCTTATGATTCCAACCTTTTTTATTGGTTTAATCTTTTACTATATTAGACGTATTTATTTGCCAACGGCTCGACGAGTCAAACGATTGGAAGGAGTTAGTAAGCATAATGATTTATTTATGTTTATAGTTGATACATTATTGTAGGACTAAGGATTAGGGATGAGCATGAAATCTGAAAATCTGAATTTTCTGAATATCCGAATAGTCAAATTCGGATTTACCAAATTATCCGGATTATCATGATTTATGGATTTGAATTTTATGTAAATTATAATTATTTTTAATTTCTAGTAAAATAAATTGTTTTATTTTATTGTAATTCAATAACAACAAATTAATATTATATTTTATGAATAACAGTCAGTGCTTGACTTGGCAAAATTAAAGAAGGGGGACTTTGTTTACTTTAAAGAAAATAGCGTTCCCGAGACTTGTTAAGCTTTACAATTATAACTTAATAATAGTAGGGGGACGCTAAAATTTCTGAAAATTAGTTAGGGTACTCTGTCCCCCTACGTCCCCCCTCAAGTTAAGCACTGATTAACTGTATATAAAATTACACTATTATATATATATATATATGTCGTAGGCCATATGGAAAATTAGTTTTTTTGCAAAAAAACTAGGCTCTTTGCAATGGGGTAGCCCGTTTGCAAACTACTTATTATTTTTCCAAACAGCCTGCTGTTTTTCAGGCTCATTGCATACAGTCTAACAGCTGTTAGGCCTTTTAAGAATTACTCACTATTTTTTAAAAAACAGTCTGCTGTTTTTAGGCTCATTGCATACATACTAATTTCAGTTAGGCCTTTTAAGAACTATAATCATTTTATGGTAAAAACCATTTTAATTATTTTATTTTAAGGGTTATTGATAATAACACAGTACAAATATGTAACATAAATGTATAACATGTAGCATTATTATTTATTAATAATATAAAGGTATTTATTTATTGTTACATGTGGTTTTTTCGTGGCATTTTGAGCTACAGAGTACATTGTTTTTCCGACAAGCGCATCTATTTGTTTTGCACGATGTTTTGCAAATGAGCCAGAAAAACAGCAGGCTGTTTGGAAAAATAATAAGTAGTTCGCAAACGGGCTACCCCATTGCAAAGAGCCTAGTCATTTTGCAAAAAAACTAATTTTCCATATGGCCTACGACATATATATATACATGACTTCAACAGTTTTTATAATTTATTTTATTTACCAAAACTAGTTATTAAATTATTGAGCTTATTTTATACCTCAATGACATAATATGTTTTCATTGCTGAACACTTAATTAACTTATCTTTACTGCATAACCTTAAATGTATGAGAATATAAAAATTAGTCATTGAAAAGCAAAATTTAATTGAATAATCCGAATAATTCATGAAATCCGGATTTGACAAATTCGATTAATCCGGATATGTCCATCACAACTAGAGATCACATATTTTATTGCTTTATTTATTTTTGTTAGCACGGAGTCCAGTTTTTTCACATATGAATGAATCTTTACAAGGACTGATAACCATACGAGCGTACAAGGCAGAAGATATGCTATTCAGAGAATTTGATAAACATCAAGTAAAAACTAAAATGTTTTTATAATAAATAATTATCAAACTAATACTGTCTATTTTAATGTTTAATTAGGATTTACATTCATCAGCTTGGTATTCATTTATTTCCACAAATCAAGCATTTGGTTTATGGCTGGACACAGTGTGTTATTTTTATATATGTATCGTTATATTCAGCTTCTTAATTATCGGAAATGGTGAGTTATGAACAAAATGTTTAAATCATTTTAAATTGTTACCATGTGTTAAGCTTTTTTAAATAGTTTGATTTTGGATAATCTAAGATATAAATGGTGGACTCGTCGGCTTAGCTATTACACAATCGATTCAATTGGCTTCAATGGTTCAATGGACTATAAAACAATCAGCTATATTGGAAAATCAAATGACTTCAGTCGAAAGAATTCTGGAATACACAAATTCACCACAGGAAGTTACTCTTCAACTTCATACAAGTAATAATATATAATAAAATAATAATAATTTAAATTAAAAATTATTAAATGGTTAATACTCGAAAATTAAATTAAGAAAATTAATTAAAAATAATAGAATGTATTGATATTATTTAGCTAAAGAACCTCCAAACGAATGGCCTGTTTCGGGAAAAATTGTCTTTAAAAATTTTAATCTGCGTTATAATCCAAATACCCCATACATTTTGAAAAATCTAAATATTCAAATTGAACCAATGGAAAAAGTAAATTGAAAAATTCCAAACATATATATTCAATATTCTATAATAATTTGTTTAATCTATTCAGGTCGGAATCGTTGGCAGAACCGGTGCAGGAAAATCATCCTTTATTGGAGCGTTGTTTAGATTGGCTCTAAATGAGGGTAGTATTTTCATCGATGACATAGAAATAAATGAAATAGATCTACACATTCTTAGATCTAAAATTTCTATTATACCTCAAGAGCCAATTTTATTTTCGGGAACTATACGAAAAAATATAGACCCGTTCGACGAATTCTCTGATCACGATCTTTGGAAAGCTTTAAGCGAAGTAAATATATGCATTGTTCATAATCAATTAGGTGCTATGTATATTCATAATTAAGTTAAAATTTTCATTTATTAGTACAAAAATATTAAGTTTTTGGTGTGTATACGAATGCATAAATAACTATTTCAAGTACGTTAACAATAGTGGCAGTGTGAACATAAAATGGGTCTAATAAACACATGGATGCATCAGGAAAAGGAAATATTACTTATAGATCACTTATTCACTCATTAAATTATTTATTTTATTTGTTCACAATTAATCAATATAAGATATTTATATATTTAAAATAATTTAAGGTCCAGCTTAAAGCTACAGTCGAAAGTTTACCTGGTAGTTTAAATACCAAAATGTCTGCAAATGGTTCTAATTTCAGTGTCGGCCAAAAACAATTAGTATGTTTGGCTAGAGCAATACTGCAAAATAATAAAATTCTAGTATTAGATGAAGCTACTGCCAATGTCGACCCTCAGTAATAATAATATACTAAATGCTCATAAATACACAATATATTGTAGAATGATATATCATTTTTTAGAACTGATACTTTAATCCAGAATACACTAAGAAATAAATTCAGACATTGCACAGTATTAACAGTCGCTCATCGTTTAAATACTATTATGGAATCCGATAAAGTAATCGTTTTGGATGCAGGAAGAATAGTTGAATTCGATCATCCATATAATTTGTTAAATAATGAAAATGGTTTTTTATACACGATGGTAGAACACACCGGATCTTCAACAGCTGAATTATTACACAGTGTAGCAGCAAAGGTAATGTATATATTGCATTTTTCGATTTATTAAAGTTACTCGAAGAGTTTCAAATATTATTTTGATTTTTAAATTTATTTAGAATTTTAAGAATATGAATATAAAAAAAAATTTCACACCAAATGATCTGACGAAAAAGCTGATTTAGCTGTTGATGTCTAATAAATCATAAATGTATTGTTCTTTCATAAAATGACGTTTTTGATAAAACTTTTTATTTGTTTATGTAAATTAATTAGTTAATATATTATAGTTAATTATATGTAAATTATTTTTTTTTTGTATTTATTTTGTAAATTTTTTTATTAACTGCAATGTGGAGATACTCATTTTATAACTACTATTTATATATTTTGAGTAAACCTAGACACTAAATATATTAAAACGGTTTAATTTTCATTGGATTCAACATTATACTGTTGAAAACTTTGTTAAACCATTTATATTTTATTAATCAATTAATATATAATATATCAGTGGCGCAAACAGGATTTTTTTTCCGGGGGGAGGGGGGCAAGGTAAAAATATAACACATTTTACAATTAACAAAATTATGCAAATCCCTAACATATTTTGACATAAATAATATTGATAATATCATTGATAATAGAATAGACTATTCTATAATCAATGATACTAGGTATTCAATACTAGCTCTTCATATTTCAAACTTGTAAAATTTGTAAATTTTAACCTAGACATCGAAGAAAATGTTGGGGGGTTATATCCCCTTACCCCCCCTTCTTGCGCCACTGTAATATATAATTAGGGAATAAATATAATCGATTTGATTTAATTAAATATTTTTTATAAAAACAACTAAATATAATTTATATTTAATCACACAGACTTTCTTTTTTCTTATTGTTTGACACATTTATGTTTTTATAATCCTTTTATTCTCATATCCATTAGTTACATAACTTATCTAGCAGAGAAATATTACTTAAATTATTAAAAATTGCTTAAAATATCAATTTATTAGTATTCAAAAACTCAAATAACCTGCTTAAATTCCTTTGTAAAAAAGCAACATTTTTTACTAAATGCTCGGTTTCGTGTATGTATGAATTTTAACGATAAGCATATCAATTGTAATTGATTTATTTATCTAAAATTAACAAAGTATTTTAAGTAAAACATTTTTAAATTATTCTTCTTGGATTAGAATAAATTGGAAATGTATAGATTTACTAATATTTTACATAATTTCACAATATCGATAAAAGATCAATTAGACTAAGTAAAAATACTATTAATAAAATGAAAAAACTATGTTTAATATGGGCAACCTAAACGCGCGATTTAGTCTCTAAAAATAAATTTAAAATACTTTTAGCGAGAAATCGAAACTGCAACACAAGACATTGTCATTTATATTAAGTAATACTTAAAAGCTCTAAAAGTCTCTAAAAGGGTTAGACTCTAAGAGTCTAACCCTTTTGCAGCACGTGAAGGGGTGAGATATCGCCACCAAATTTAACCTAAATTATTTTCATATACTAATGAACAAAACAGAACGGTGCTCAATAAAAAATTTGAAAGTGTAAAAATAAGAACCACTCTAATAAGTATATAAAAACGTTGACATTTTTTAATTATGAGGAGCAATAGCAAATAGTTCATAAAATGCATCGGAAATTTCAGTGAAAGGTAAAATAACCAATCCAAAGTACTATACATTAATTAGGTCACATTTCTGTATCATTTTTGTGTTGTATTAATATATGGCCGGCCGCACATAGAAAGAAACCAATTTCATAAAACTAATTTCATGAAACTAGTTTCATACTCTCCACGCATCAATGTAACTAAAAATTAGTTTCGATAATGTTGTCCGACGTAGAGGATGTGTTAATGTTATATTGGTGGTTACGAAATAAAAAAAAGAAACGCAGATATTGGATTCATCGACTTATTCGTGATAGACAACATAGTAATTATGTATTTGCAAAAGAATTTGCAAGACATTGATACTAATTATTAAAGAAAGAACTAAAAAAAAACAATAATATTAGTTCATAAAGTTATAAAAAATTAAAAAACAAATATTTTTAGATTATTAAAATATTATTTACCTGAGTATTGAATAAATGAAATCAATAATAATTGAAATAATAATTAAACACGAAATTATAATGGTATAAATGTATAAAATTTATGAAACTATTTCATTAGAACCAAAATCACATATTTCATGAAACAAGGATCGCATACCGGAGAAATTTTAAACACGAAACTTTTTGTACGCAATCGGTTTCAGAAACTAGTTTCACGTTGGTCTGTATATTGAAGAAACTTAAACAATGAAACCAGGTATAGAATAACGAAATATGATTAATTTTAAAATGTCGTCCGACGGGGATGACGTGATTTTGCTTTGGTGGTGGCAGGGGTGGATCTAGGGGTGGGCTCAAGAGGTCAGCTGACCCACAGTTAATAGTTGTCGGCAAAATTGACCTCTTGAAGACTTCTAAAATGAAGATTTTAAGTGAAATGGCTGAAGTTAATACCATACTGAGCCGAATGCCCCAGTTTCCATCCCTTCCCCTAAATAACGTCACTTGTTTAATAATTAATATAATATACAATTATTGTATAATACAGTAAATTACTTTTATGCCGCACCTCATGTAAGACTCCACAAAATATAATAAATGTTAATTTTTTCAATGATAACTATGAATAAACTTGAAAACACATATTATAATGCCATAGTGTTTTTTTCATTACAAGGAATATACTTATAATTCAGTTTCAGACTTTATAAATAGCTTGTTTTGGCGCTTAACCTGTTAATAATTATTGGTGATGCTGACGATACTTTTCTTTGGACAGTTTTTTTATGCTCGGCTCAATATTTGATGAAGAACACCTTTAGTCAGATACGACATCTAAACGATTCCTATGTTTGTTTTTTATAACTGCCATGCTGGAGAATCAAAACTCGCATAAATAAGTAGATAAAAATTTTACAAGGACTTTTAAAGCTTCATTTGAAATTTCAGGATAAATGGGTTGGTATTTTACCCAAAACTCTTCCATAGAGCTACTGTTGAAATCAATTTTTGCGGATGAATCGTTCTTCAGCTCGATTGCCTGTTCTTGAATTATGTCTGGAAATATGTCTACGTTAGTACTAAATGAAGAAATTGTTAACATATATCGCCAACTTAAATTCGAAAAATTTGGAAAATATGGAGTGAGTTCATCAGTCAAACTGTCGAGATGTTTAATCACTATATCTATCAACCCAGCAGGACAAAATGGTTCTTCTTCATCAGAGAGAAGTTCGTTCAGTTGACAGAAAGACGAAAAATTTTGAGTCTCTTTGTTTACTCTGCTTTTCAAAAGCTGTATCTTTTCTAGAAATACATTGATAGAATCGTTGACAATTATAACGTTGGTATTCCTCCCTTGTAATTTAATATTTAAGTTAATAGAGACAAAAAAATCTGTTAGGTACTTATAGTCTTTATCGGTTATCCGTTACTGATACCCCGATAACGGATATAGAGAACTGGTAAATTATTTTTTTTCTCTAAGTTTTAAAATAAAAATAATTTAATCAATAAAAATTGTATTTCCTAATAACTGTTTGCGCCTTCCCAATAATGTGTATACGCCCCTCAAGGGGGTCACGCCCACCGGTTTGGGAACCAGTGATTTAAATACACGTGAAATAACTAATGAAATAAGTTTTCTATTTCACGAAACAAATTTCCCCAGTGTGTTACCAGCCTAACTATATGAAATTTTAGTATCATCAAATTCGGTATGCATATCCATTTATTTTCGAATGGCATGGTTTTATGCAGGCTCGTACTGGCCCACCGGGCGACCGGGCAGATGCACGATGCCCCCATGAAAATTGCGATGCATGATGCGCCCATAAAAATTACCACTACATTAAAATTTTGGAGAGATATCCATTATTCTCATTAACATGTAATAACCCGATGGTCTTCTGTAATATGTCATTGAAAAACGTTTATATTCTTGTGAAGACAAGAAAATATATAAAAATATAAACCTAAATTATGATTTTTTTAATCTGTAATCTATTGGGCCACAGGTAATCTGAAAGATTAAATAACAAAAATTAAGGCGCCCTTAAATATTTTCGTAACCGCCCTATAAGAGTAGCCAGTACGGGCCTGGTTTCATGAAACAAAAGTTTCATGTGTCGCGAAACATGTTTCATGAAAAAAATTTCCACTGTTAGTACTAAACTTTAACTAAACTCTATTAAATGTATAGTACAATGTGTACAATATTCAGGTAATACAGTTTATTTTTGTGCTTTTTTCCACTACAAAGGAACAAATGCGTAAATTTGTTTTGCGCTTTTGAGTTATTGAAAAATAAGTCAATTTGCCTTTCGGGTTTCACCGATCTTGACAGTTTTGGTTGTTGGGTATTACAAATGAATACATTTTTTTCTAATTTTTTTCACATTTTTTTAATTTTTGTTTTAACATTAAATATCAATATTTATTGGTAAAAATCATTCTCCCTCCTGGTACGTCATTAGGCCGAAATTTAGAATATTTTTCCTCCGACTACATGTTTAAGACTTCAGCGCCACTGCCAACAGAATTTCAGTATACTTTAATATGATAACCCCATCAAACGAAAACAATCCAAACATTGTATTAGGTCACAGCCAAATAGTGCAGTTAATTTAAATATTATCAAATCTTCTCATATTCCTCATAAAGTGATTAATATTTTAAACAAAAAAAAATTTCTAATTGCAAGGTCTTTGAAAAACTTATCAACTATAGCAAATACAAATTAAACAGCTAGTTTAAATTCATGATATTATGGTATATTAAATTCAAATCCAAATCAAAATATTAGAATTCAATTTCATAATATATCAGATCATGACATCAAATATTTTATATAAAGGTAATAGTTCTTTTGAATAACTCTAAAAGTAATTTGTGAAATATAATAAATAATATGTACAAAATTAAAATATTAAAGACATATAAAATATGATGGTACATTTTTTAATGAAATTAATAATTAGTTAATTATTAACTATTATTTTATTGATTAATTATTAATCAGATATTTTTCAAATGGAATTCAACTTAAAATTATTTCCTTTATATAATTGGCCACATCTTAATAACTTAAAGATCGTCTTATTACAATTAATGAATTACCATACTATGAATGAACCTAATAAACATATAATTTAAGAATCAAAGATTATCAATCACAGTATAAAGAATATTCAAAATATTTTGAAATTAAAAATGAATGCTAATATTGAAACGGAATAAAAAAAAATAATACAACAATTCAACAACAAACAACAATACAAATTTTAATTGTTAATTGTAGTGCTTTAAATATTTTCAATTAAAAATTGGAAGGTGTTTGTAGAGGAATAAAATCAGTTGGTTCGACAATAAATGATGAAGTCATAAATAGTTAAAAAAATATATGAAAAATCTACAAACAATTTTGATGCATAATATTATAATGATTATATGGAACTTAGTCAATCCAATAATTTTCTAACTGACTTTAAACTACTTAAACATACTATCAATAATAACAAAATGTAATCAATAGAAAATAAATTATCTTATTTCACTTGAACACATTAGATAATTACATAATTGCAGTCCTGTTCACAGGGGGATTTAAACCTCCTCCAAATAATATTGAGGATATTTTTACATACATTTTTACTAAAAATATAGTCCTCCTTTTATAAAAGTTAAACTCATTTGATAATGCATACATAGTTAAGTATCTATAAGTATTTTTGTTTTAACAGTGCTAATTTTCTCGATTTAACGCACACTTCTTTTGAATTATCTCTTTCACTTACTGTCGTTTATAATGCAGCCATTAATGGAACCATAGAGTAATATATTACTCTATGGATGGAACGCATTTCCAGTCAGCTGTTCGAACATTTATTAGCATTTATTGATTTTCAATCCCAATATTTTTTTAACATGGATATCTCAACGTGCAAACTGATTCGGATGAAAATGATTTCCAAATAACAATCTGCATACCATACATTGATTTTTTTTTTAATACCTAATTTATTAGACCGATTTTGGATCATCGCAATATTTTATCAAATTTCACTTATCTTTTTCTCAACAAATTGAAAGATTTCAATGAAAATTCCTGCGATTAATTTTTTGAAACATATTCTTATTTATATATTATATATATTTATTTATATTTGGCGCGATGATTCCCATGACATCTGTAAAGATGAAGTTCAACTTTGGCGTAAACGCATTGCTGGGCAAGACATCAAAAATTCACTCGAAACACTTGATTTTTACAATAAAGATACGTTTCCAAATGTTTACCAAACCAAATGCTTCGCGTTCTAGCAGTTTTATCTGTGACAACAGAGACAAATGAATGCGTATCTTCAACTTTGCGTCATCTCAAAACGTACCTTAGATCCATAATGTCTGAATATCGGCTGAACGGGTTAGTCTTGCTCAATATACATCGCAATATCAAAGTCGATGCAAAAAGAGTTTTGGAAAAAAAATTTTCTGTACCTTGCAAAATTATTTTATTGAATGGAAGTAACTAAATATCACGTTATGGCATGAATTATTATGCACTAAGCATAATAAAATGTCCTTACTTTTTGAAACCATTTTGAACCCTCCCTCTTGAACGATTCCTACGCATGGTCCTGTATAAATCAATAAATTTATCACCTCCTATAAAAAAAAAAAAAAAAACGTCTCCAATAAACTATTTCAAGAAATATCTTAAGAAAATTACAACTAAAATAATTTAGTTAAATTATAAAATAAAGAAATGTCAGAGATCACAAAACCAATATTAATTTACCTGATATTGAATACCTTTCGATTTATTGACTCCTGTGATTATAGGTTATTCTAATAATTCTTATGTGAACATTTATAAAGTTATTCAAGAAGAAAAAAATCAAAACCAATATTTGTGAAGAAAATGCCCTAAACCAACAGTCCACTTAATTTCATAAAATTTCATAATAATATTAAATAAAAAAATAATTTGATTACCGCAATATTTGGTTTACCAAAATGATGGATTATGATGAAGTATAGTAATAATATTGTAACGTTGAACATTTTAAAACAATTTTCCTATGAAAATAATTTAAGTATAAATAATGTTCAATTTACCTATTATGATGGTTCATGAATTTAATTTATCAGAAAGGATTTTAAAAATGATTCTATTATGATTTATTAAATTATAAAACTTATCTTTTTATTATTTTTATTAATTATATTTCTAATTGTTATTTATTTGACAGTATAATAAAATATTTTCATAGTTATCATTTTATAAGAAGTATTTGATTTTAAATAATTGTATAATTTTATTATTTTGTAAACTATTTTATCACTTTTATTTACAAAAAGCTGTTTAATATTTTTCTAACAATTAAATTCATACTGATATTGTATAATATTTAATAATAATAATCATAATAATTTTTCAAATCCTGTATCAGAATATGATCTAATCAAATTATTATTTTTACATAAGAATTATGGATATTGAGATAGTCGGAAAAAGGTCCCGCCCGAATTATTGTATAAATATTAGTCTATGGTGGGGAAGCATATAAGCATAGTGTACATTGTTAGAGAACCCAATGAAAATACTGTTCTACGATTGGTTCTAATCCCAATGAGATGACGACTTCGCTATCAATTATGTGTTATCAGTTATCAAATTTCTGAATTTTTAATTATTAAAGACGTTTTAATGCTTTTAAACTTTTAACTTTTATTTGGAATTTGAAATTTGACAAAATGATATTTCCAAAAAAATATATAAATGACATTGTAGGAGAAACTGGGAATACCGATAACATCAAATCAAACATATCATGTATGGAAGATATCAATAATTAGGTTTCTCAATTTGGGGAGTTAAATTTTAATCGTTGGAACTATCATAGGTGCAACTTGGGGGGGGAGGGCTAAGGCGTGATTGGCACCCCCATTTTTTAAATTAGTACCCCTAAATGTGTTAATGATAACTTACATTTAAATACTCATTACTTATTATGTATAGAAAAATAGAGTTTTTATTGTATAAATATATAAATTTATTATTTAAATAATGGTGGTGGAAGTTTGTTCTTCGTCTTTTCCGTCCTCGAACTGGATAATAGTAATAGATAGGGATACCAGTTTTTGAAATCCGTAAACTTAAATCATTATATTGAATGACTCATACTTTCAAAAAATTAGGTATTTTTAAAGTCTATATTTAAATCGAAATTGCCATTAGAAAATTTTATCAAATACGAAAAAAAATATTTTTGCTACAGGGTAAAAGTTTCAAGTTTCTAGCCACATTACTTTTGGAATTATGACTAAATAACTGAAATCTGAAGTAAGTCTCATTTACAGCGTATTATTACCGTTTCAGAACAGTGTTTTCCTCACGCCTAGAAAAATAATTAAAATTTTAAAAAAATGACCTATTAAAATACCACTGTATGCCAATTTAAAATCTAAACATTTCCTAAAAAAACTTTTGGACCAGTATTTCTATGCCAAAAGTGTTAAAAAAATAAAATACAAAAATCATTATAAAACCATAATATTCTTCGCTTCAACTAGAATCTGAAAGTAATCATGTGATGAAATATTTGTGTTTACAGACGGATTATTCATTATATGCGCAATAAAAATATAAAATAAAAGCGAACAATTTAAACTTAGAAATATTCAAATATTTACTAAATATTATAGTAGGTAACTGTTGAATTGTACGGGTTGTGGGTGTATATTACCATTAAAAAACATGAAAAAGATAGAAGGGCTTCAGCAACCCCAGTTTTTTCATTAAAATTGCATCCCTGATAACTACCGCTCCAGTATTCCGAATGGCCAAAGAATTGTTTGCTAATATAGTCTTTTACAGTTAATTTTTTTTTCTTTTAGGTTTTTACAGACTGAAAAGTAGTACAAAATTTTATTTATATTATTTATTGATATGATTATATGAATTATAATTATTTCTATTATTTTTTATTTTTTGTTACCATAACTAACATATTTTATTTGAAACAACGTTTTATCCTGAAATAAAAATTTGATATTAAATTTAAAATTTGTATTTTTATTTAGTAGATAAATTTATATATTAGGTATTTTATAAATCCCTTAAGGGTCTTATAATACATAACAGCATTTAATTTTTTATATTTTTATTATATACTAGTTATTAAATGTTTTAATAAATAATTAATAAGTAAATATTTGTTTTTTTGGAAATATAATTTTCGTGATTTATCAAATTTGATAACTGATAACAGATAATTGATAGCGAAGTTATTATCTCATTGAGATTAGAGCCAATCGTAGAACAGTATTTGCATAGGGTTCTCTAACAATGTACACTATGCTTATATGCGATGAGGAATATACGAATTACGACAAACCACCATCACAATCTTGGTTGAAAACAACAATACAAATGGCAGCACTGTAACCATTTGCAACGATAATACGGTTCTTATCGGAATGGTCGTCTATCAATGTTCGATTCCGTACTCAACTACATCACCCATCCTATCCGGAGTACTATTGGGTTGTGTTTGTTGGTTTTATTTTAATTATTTAATCTATTGAAACCAATTTTGAAATTTACTTTGAATAACTCGTGTTCGGTCTGTTCCTGTCATAAAGTGAAGACGAATTAACAATGGCCATGTGGACGACGTTTACGAACACAGGTTAGACAAGTTTTTATGAATATTAGATATAAAATCCCGAGATAAATAGATTAGTCATCGAGAAACAATTTAGTGCTACAGCTTTAATTATTAAATGTGTTTTCATTCGTCTGTATCGTTCAAAAATATTTCGTATTGAAGTATACATTTTATTTGTTCTCTGTTGTATAAATCATACGTTTAATTTTTTTTCCATAATTGTTAAAATGTGTCAGGTTTGTTAAAAAAAATACAATTTCAACTTTTTTTTTTATTAATTTAAAAAATGTATTGAATTTACAATAAACATTTGTATGCATTTCTTAATTTCATGATAACTAAATATAACTAAACAAAGCTACTTATTAGTTATAGATTAATCTTATAAATTATACAATTATATAACTCAGAATTACAAACTGATCTTTAGTTAAAGAAATATAATTAATATTCTTGTACATTTATAGTTTACATAAATTATGTATATTTGTTTTTGATAACATGTATATTATGCTATTATAATTGATAAAATGTTAAAATTTCATAGTAGCTATATAATTGTTTTAAGACTAATTAGATAACTAATGGTTTAATTAAATTAAATATTTTATAATTTTTTTTCAGGAACATCAGATCCTAGCCGAGAATCGGGTTTAGGAAGTGATTCTGATAATATGGCTGAATTAGCACAGTTATTACAGGCAGATATACCAGAAGGCCGCAATAGTTTGTCTGATAGCCATGTCAATTTAGAGCGTGTAGCTGAATATTGTGAAGGAAACTATTTCCAAGCTGAGAATAAACGATTAGCTTTAGAAGAAACAAAAAATTATACCACTCAATCTTTAGCTAGTGTTGCTTATCAAATCAATACTCTAGCTTATAATTTTTTACAATTATTAGATCTACAAACTGTTCAACTATCTGAAATGGATAGTCAAATCAATCATATTGCTCAAGTAAACATTTTAATATGTTACATATATTTATAAACTATTTTTATACAATTGTTATTTACTAGTTAAATTGAAATTATGTGTATGTATATTAAACATATAATGTTTTTTTTTTTTTTTTTAAGTACTTTTAATCAATCATTTTTTCAGAATGTGATGATTCATAAAGAAAAAGTTGCTAGAAGAGAAATTGGTGTGTTGACTGCGAATAAGACAACTAATCGACAATATAAAATCATTGCTCCTGCTAACCCAGAAAAACCTATAAAATATGTCAGAAAACCAATTGATTTTACTGGTAATTCTACCTATGATTTCCTTTTTTATTTTTAATCTCACATAGCAATATTGATTTATTATTACTTAGTTTTAATTTGTTTTATTAGTATTTTATTTATTCAATTCAATTTTTTCATACTCAATTATAATTATAATAATAATAATTTATTCAGTGAAATAACTTTCTAAAAATATAAATTATTTCAATTATAACAAAATTATCATAAAAAAATTAACAATTTTAATATTGCTAAATATTAAGATATTTAATTATATTATCAATAAGTTTTACTTTTGAATTAATGATATCAAACTAAATGAAAATTATTTGTTTATCTGTCAACTAAATTGTTACATACAATCAATGCAGATAATTTTTTTATATTATTTTATGTAAAACTATAATACATTTTTATGAATAAAAAAAATATTTTAAATTTTCTATTTTATTAACTATTTCAGTGTTAAATTAATCTGGGGTTGTTATTAGTTGTTTATATTTATGTTATTGCAGCTCTTGATGATATTGGCCATGGTGTTCGTAATACTCCCCGTATGGTACGTCAACCAATTTCTAACAGTTCTAGTGCTTCAACTAATATATCATCTGTTGGACCTGCTCCCACAATCAAACCTCCAACTCCACCAGCTGTTATAAGAGCCACTGGATCATTAAGTAAAGGGTCTCGGGAATATCGTACACCTCCTGCTGTTGCTCCACCGCAAGTTCCTAGTCATTATGCTCCTAATTATCCTCTTGGTCATGTCAGACGAGAAAAAGGACCTGGTTATAATACCCTGCCTCTTCATCATACATCGTCATCTAGTAGTATACAACCAGCTCCAATCATTGGCATGGTACATCCAATGCAGCAATCCGAACAACCATCATCCTTGAACTCTATGCCTCGTAAGTGAGCTTATAGTTATGTATATTATATTTATAATATTAACCAAAATAATTTTTATGTTATAGCTCCTCCATCTCCGCATACATTAAACTCAAGAATGGGAGTTGGACCTGATTTATTAGACCATCATCTCCATCAAGCTCCTTTTTCATCGACTACTGACCATTATCGTTCAAACACATCTCAACAGTCATCCACAGATCATTATCGTTCAAATATATCTCAACTGTCTTCTACAGACCATTACCGTTCAAATACATCTCAACAATCTTCTACTGACCATTACCGTTCGAATACATCTCAACAATCGTCTACTGACCATTATCGTTCAAACATGTCTCAGCAGCCATCTACTGATCATTATCGTTCAAACATTTCCCAACAACAACCATCTACTGATCATTACCGTACCAGTACCTCTCAATTACCTGGTATTTTAAAAAATTCAGTACAGTACCACTCTTCATCAGCAGTAGTCACTACACCACAACAGCTACCTACTAGACAATCATCAGCTTCGCCACCTTTACCACCACCACCAGAAGATCATTTTGGACCTGTTACCGCTGGTCCAATAGTACCTCAGGAACCTGACCTTCCAGGGTGGGTTCCAAAGAATTATTTAGAAAAAGGTAAGTAAAAATTAACTACTCATAGAATATACATATATTATTTACAATTTACTTTATTTTAGTGATTGCAATATATGATTACTATGCTGACAAAGATGATGAATTAAGTTTTCAAGAAAATGCCGTTATTTATGTATTGAAGAAAAATGATGATGGTTGGTGGGAAGGTGTAATGGATGGTATTACTGGTTTGTTCCCAGGAAACTATGTAGAAGGTTGCAAGTAAAACACTATTTATTTTATAAACAATTTAATGACATTTGTTAAGCTATATACAATTAATATTACTCAAAAAGGCTATCTAAACAAAATTATTTTTAAATAAAAATTAAATAAATTTTTCTTTAAATATTATTTAATATTTATTATCAATAAAGTAAACCCTTAAATCAGATTTGAATTTGATTAAATTTCTACATTAATAGCCATATTTTTTATTTTAGTTCAATAAGAAGTTATAATAATTGACATTTTTATACTGGATTATTGTTTAAATTAATAAATAGATAGAGCATAAGGCTAAAAAATTGTTGTGAATGAGGGAATGGACCTTATAAAAATATTTTTCATTTTTTATTTTGGTTACACATTATTATTTTATATTTTATATATCTTAAAAGTTTTATTTAAAATTAAATATTTAATTAAAAATAGTAATTGCACTTAATATCCAAGTATGTATTTATATATTATGTATTTATTGAATTTAGTATTTAATATAAAGCTTAGTTTATTTCATAATATTTAAATATTACAAAAATGTATGTTTATATTTAAAGCACTTTACAGAATAAGATAATTATTATTTATACTGCACTAAATTCTAAAAAAAAATAATTTTATGAAAAAGGCATGAAACAATTTTATATTTGTGTATTTCAAACTAAAATGTATTTAATCCCAATAAATACCTATCTAAATTATAATTACATATATAGTTAGTAAGTGTTAGTTAGAAAGTATATGATTATATTTAACAGAAAATATTGATTTATCATCATAAGAGATAATTTCATTAAAGTTTTAAATGATTATTAATTACATTAAAACTATCTGTTTGAAAAAACAATTTTGGTTGATTTGTTAACATTTATAAATAAATAATTTATAATTTATAAAATAATGTTTAAAGTTAGTTGCTATAACTCCCTTTTTTTCATTTGAATTGAATGCCAAGCAAAAACAGTTAATCACAATACTACACTCCACCCCTATAAACTAGTTGTTCTCAACATTTTAGTTGTGTGGGCCACCGATTTTATAATAAAAAAAATTGACGACCGCTAACTCTTATATGCATAAAATAAAAACACATCAAGTTTATCTTTTATCTTTATTTTAGATAAACCTTCGGTCATTATCTAGATAAAACTATTGGTAATCTTTCCCAACATTCCTCTCGCGACTATTAATGAATATAAATAAAAATAAAACCACATTAAAGATATATAGATATATATATATATATATATATATATAGGTGTATCTTTAAGAATCTATTTAAAGAATTGGTACGCACGCTTTTCTACAACCATTTTTTGTCCATTGATAATTTTAAAATAAATAAAAACACGTTTAGAAAAACCAAAGAAACTTTATAATACAATATTTAATAATAATAATACAGTTGATACTATCGTTTATTGAAGCTCTCACCTTCATCAGTCGAATGACAAACTATTATTGACAATAATCTATTTTGACCGTGTGAGGATTACACTGTCAGTAATGTAAATAGTGTCAATATTTCTACTGTCAGTATTACTGATCGTGTGAAGCCCGCTTTATCAATTACGTTAATAACGGTATATTTTGTATACCATCTCACGTGATTAATATTACTAACAGTATTTTAGACACTGAAAGTAATATTAGGTTTATTCCAACACATAATCAAACTATCATTTAACTGGTGGGAGCATGCGCAGTATAATTTTTTCATTCCAATACCCTATACGCCAGTGGTGTATATAGCGGGAGGGGGGATAGGGGGCTACAGCCCCCTCCTCCGAAATGTTTTAAAAAACTTAAAAATTATTTTAAACGTATGTTATATTTTAATGGTGCTTTATACTTATTTAGAATTTGCGTCCAACGTCAAATCGTTTTGGGTAATTCTGTAAATAAAATGTAGATAAGTACATACTGTGTCTTTTTAGTAATTCTTAGATGACAATGGTATTTTAACTCTGTCCATAGTAGCCCCTCCCGAAAATATTTTCTGTATTCGCCGCTGCTTAATGCAAACTCTAACATAATTATCAGATAGTTGTTTCAACTGTGGTGATGAATAGAATGAAAATATCGAAACGAAAGAACCGATATGGGTAAGTATCAAAAAGGAAATAATGATAAGAGTAAAATATAAAAACGACCGATATGAATAATCGTTCCAATTAAGAAGAATAGATTTTATTCGGTATAGACGCCATTACATTATGGACTGTGATTTGACTGTGATTATGGACTGTAATCCGTAGAAATAATTTTATAATCGTATAGAGCAGTGGTCCACAAGAAAATGTAAGTGGTCCGGAGAAAAATTTGAACGTTACTTAAAGAATCTTTTTGTCGTTATTTCCCAAAAAAAAAAAACCCCTAGACATGTTATTATGTAGATAATAGATCCATTGCAGCAAACAATGAAAATAACAGATTAAATATGACCAAAAAAAAATGCCTCATCGATTTATTTAATGATATTTATGTAAACAGCTATTTTAAACTAAAAGTGGTCCGTAGAATTTAGAGTATCTATTTAGTGGTCCGTGAAGTCCAAGAGGTTGGCGACCACTGGTATAGAGCAGTGGTTTTCAACATTTTTAATAATACGGTACACTTCATCTCCAACAAAATTTTAGCGTCACCAATCCATATATTATGTGAAGCCAAAAATGTATAACATTTCATCAATTAAGAACGGCTGGGCCAATTTAGCTCAATTTTTTTTTAATTTTTCGTAATTGTCAGGAGAAGGTTTTTACGAAACAAAATTTTGGAATAGTGCTATTGTTTAATAAAATTTTTGACCCGGTCGATAACTGCGCAATTTAAAATAAATTAATAAGTGAAACTATTAAAATCTATTATAAACTATTTAAAAACTATTAATATTATTTTTGATATTAAATGACGGGTATTGCATAAATATTAAACAACAAGATCCCGCAACAGATGCCAAAACAAACAAGAATGTTAGTTCGAAGGATTATTATGCAAATCGGTTGATGATTAGACGCGATCAGGACAACGTTATTCTACGATGTCGTAAGCTTTGTCAACAATTCATGGTCGACATATATGTAAAGATAAAGAGCGAACGATTTCGATACTTGCGATTCAATCAAAAAAAGCTGCGTGCGAAAGATTCTCAAAACAATTATTAGATATCGGTGATGGGAAAGTTACTTTAGATAAAAGTCATACAAATCTATTGATACAGTAGGCGTTGCTACTGAAGCTGTAAATTATCCAACAAAGTTTTTACACTGATTGGATTTACCAGGTAAGTCACCGCATAATTTACAACTGAAGATTGGATCTCCGGTTATTTTGCTTCGTAATTTGAACCCACCACGGTTATGCAACGGCAAGCGATTAGTCATTAAAAAATTAATAAAACATGTTATCGAAGCCATAATTTTAAATGGCAAATTCCGAGATGAAAATATATTACTACCGCAAATCCTTATTTTACCAACAGATGTGCCAATACAATTTAAACGCCTTCAATTTCCAGTTAGATTGGCATTTGCAATGACTATCAATAAGTCTCAAAGTCAAACGATTTCTGTCTGTGGTTTAGATTTGAGCACATCATGTTGTTCACACGGATAATACGTGGCGTGCTCTCGAACCATCCAGTTTGTGTTGGCGAAAGATGGGATAACAAAAAATATTGTACACTCTGTTACATTAAGGGATTGATATTGTTTTTTACTAATATTGTTATAATTAGCGATATATATAATTTTTAAGGATCACTTTTAATAAATTATTAAAAAAATAAATGTTTGATGTTTTTTCATTTTTATATTTCGTCACTGTTTACAGCACTCCATACCTATTCCACTTATATACCACATCTTTACACACTCATATTAAGTTAGTTATTTTTTTCTAGCAAAATATTCTCAAGAAATAATTTATATAACAAAACAACGTTTGTTGGGTCAGCTAGAATCTATATATAGTCAGGGGGTTAGGGGGTTATAACCCGCCCCGAAAATATTTAGTGTATGTATATTGTTTATTGATATAATGAAAACACACAAAATTCAAAAAAAATTTAATGTTCCATTTTTTTTAACCCCCCCCCCCCCAAAAAAAAAAAAAAAAAATTCTGGGTACGCCACTGTATATAATATACTATTTACAGTCTACTCTATTAGAGAGTTATTTATTGTGAAATATATTAATACAATCGATTGATCGAGACGGCTGTAATGGGCATAATTACAATAAATAATATTGTTATATATATATAGCGACTATATATATAACTATATAAAACTATATAAATATAGCGATTATATATATTTATACAATTTATATATTAATTTATGAGTCTACGATTACAATTTTACGAATCAGTTTCAACCACACAGTTGAGTGTGTTTGATCGAATCCGAACATCTGCGTTAAGTTTTTGTATCAGTGTAATCATGCATCGATATTTATTTTAGGTTTATTAATTATTATCATCAAGGAAGAATTTGAATATAATCCAAAAAAAGTCAAAAAGTATGAAACTAAGTTTAAAAAGTCATAGGTAACTAACGAAAAGTATAAGAAATGGTTAGTTAAAATAGATGAGAAAAAAGCAAAATGTTCATTTTGTAACGTTAATTTTACTGTAAAATGGGACGGTGAAAAGGCTCTGACAACTCATTTAAATAGTGAAAACCATAAAAAAACTGCACAGAATTTGCAACGTAATTCATTAATGACCACATTTATGACTAAACGAAACAGCTCGGATGAACGGTAGCAATCATTGAAATAGCATCAATTTACCACGCAATCAATCATCATAGCTATTTAAGTATGGACTGTGGAATAAAATTGAATACTTCTCTATACGGAGATTCTGTTATGGCAAAAAAAGTTCACTGTGGACGTACTAAAGCAGAAGCAATAGTCAAAAACATTCTCAGTCCTAATTCAATAAAACTAACCATTCAAGATTTGAAAATGATAGTTATTTTTTTATTGCTATTGATGCGTCTAATAAGGGATCCCAAAAAATGTACCCTATTGTTGTTCAGTATTTTCACATTCAAAAAGGTATCCAAAATAAACTTATGGATTTTTATGAAGATCCAGACGAGACATCATTAAAAAATTTCGAAAATATTGAAAATTTTATACAGAAATACAATTTAGACGCTGAATTATTATCTGGATTCTTTACCGACAATGCATCAACAAATTACGGCATTCATAATTCGGTCTATCAAAAACTTATCGAAAAACATCCAAAAACTAAAATAATAAAAGCAAATTGTAATTGCCACGTTATTCACAATGCTGCTAGGAATTCTATGAAACAATTAACATATGATGTAGAAAACTTAGTGTTGAAAGTGTATGCCGAATTTTCAAATAGTGCTAAACGCGTAAAAGAACTTCAAATATTTTTTGAAGAATTCGAAATTGAATATAGAAAAGTTCTTTGACATGGACCAACAAGATGGCTAAGTTTGTTTAAAGCTGTCGATAGACTGATTATGTCTTAGCCTGCTGTTTCATCTTATTTTAAATACCGAGGAGAAGAAAAAGTCATATGGAAGTTTGTTAAAAATATTTACACGGCAGAAATAACTGATTTTTCACGCAAAGTAACATTACCAGAATGCTTTTTGTACTTTATTCACCACTACATGAATATACTAAGTGAGGCAATATCAATACTTGAAACAAATTACATAAGATCTGTTGACTTACACAATGTAATGCAAGGTCTTAAAGATAAAATTGAAAATCGATTCATTTTATGGTGCAAAAGTTACGAAAAGTATTTCATCACTTCCAAAAAATGAGCGAGTAATGTTTAAAAAAGAAGCTAATGAAGTATATAAAAAAACTATTGATTATTTAAAAAAACATTACGACTTCAATGATTCTATTTTTAAGATGTTTTCAAACTTTAATTTAAAAAACAAAACAATTGAGTATGATGACGACGTAAACTTAATCGCTCTTGCTGTGTTAGTCGGTTATCGATATACCACTTGCTTCAAATATGCCCCAATAACTTCGGTTGACATCGAATGTTCGTTTTCAGTCTTTAAAAATATTTTAACCGATAAACGACACAGCTTCACAGAAGATAAACTTGAAATGCATACGATTATTCATTTTAATAATAAATAAAATTTTAAAAATAAATTAAGTTCAGAAAATTCCCTAAATTTTTTTGTATTAAGTGTTTAAGTAATTAATTATTATAAGTTGAATTATACATTTTAAATAAATAAAAAATTCTTGCATATTTTTTGCATATTTTCATGATTTTTACTGCATATTATATGGCATATTTCGATACTTTTAAGTGCATACAAATCCGCGCTCAACTTATAACATTATTTTATAGTTGCTGTTCAAGAAGATAAATTATAATCAAGCGAAATCATATTAAATGATCTCAATAATAGAATTATAAAATGTTACTTTCATTTCTTGAAATACGCTTTAAATTATTTTAATACATTTAATACTCTTTTTCAAAGTCGCAGTATTTCAATTCATTTACTGCAAAACAATTATATTTGTCTTCTTAAGTAAGGTAGGTATTTAAGAGTTTTAAAAACTGTTGAGTTATATAATTTTAAAATGTTTTTTAATTTACCTTCTAATATATTTTATTTGTTTAAACTAGGTAAAATATTTATTTGTTGTTAAATATGTAATAAAGTAAGGTATTTAAGAGTTTTAAGAGCCGTTGAGTTTTATAATTTTAAAATGTTTACTTATTTGTCCTTTTTATAAATTAAAGTATTTATTCGTTGTTGACTATATAATAAAGTAAGGTATTTAAAAACTTTAAAAGCCTTTGAATTGCATAATTTTAAAATAATTTACTATTTTCTCTTTTATTACGTTGTTAATAATAAATTGTTTGTTATTTGATAACTTTTTTAATATCTTTGTTATTGTATCATCTGATATGTAACTTTACTGAAAAAAACATAATAATTAATTGTAGTACTCATATGTATATTATTTTATTTATATATTTTGTACATATTATAAGGTAGGTATGAAATCACACGTGTTCAGTGTTATTGAAATTAGCTATTAAAAAAAAAAAGTTGTTATGATTAATTATTGAGTCAAGAAAACATACAATTTATTTTTATTTACATTAATATTTTTATAGGTACATATAAAAGTTACCAATGAACTTGAAACTTAATGAAAAATACATTTTTCAATTCATAATGGTTTGTTTGGAATTAATTTTTACAGAGCTTGTCAATGATGAATTGAAGTTCGACATAAAAAGTCTAGTTATTCTTTAAAATTTTAAAATATTATTATAATTTGTATAAGTAAAACATTAGATTTGAAAAATTATAATATGCTATTATCATAAACTAATAAAATATTATACAGTGTTATAATCTTAGAACATTGATTATAAATACTAAAATATTTATAATTAATGGTAGAAGTAAGGGTTCGAACATTTCAATGAAAAAAGTGTATTATTTGTTATGTATTAGTCAGCGAAGTGAGCAAAATATTTTTGCAGGGAAATTTACATAAAAAAGAGAAATTTAAGGCTTCTAGTTGGGAATTCTGATTGCTATCACCTACCATCACTGCGTTTGGTATACTACTTCTGATGAATCGAGTTCGTTGGCCGTTACGAATTCTCCGTGTTCACTTGATCTCTGATGTCGTGTGCTTAATAAACACTTATTGCCTCGATCCGAACAATGCCGTCAACCATTGCATGGTTGACCGTCAATGGTATTGCATTCCCAGAGAAAAACACTTATGAGTAAGTAAACGGCACATGAAATCCGATCGATTGTCAAGGTTGCTCCCAATGATGGTCCTGACGGGCGTCTTGAAAAGAGCACAGTGCTTAGCACTCTTAATGCCTGTCCTGTTACCGGCCATCCACATACTGGTGTTAGACAAGTTTTGGAGCGACTTCAACGTTAATGTCAATAAGGAACACTGTACGTGTTCGTGTTGGGACACCGTGTTCAAAGGTAAGGTTATTTCCCACGGTACCATTATAGAAGCTATCACTGATGTTCGAATCGTAATCCAAGACTATTTTGCTTTCGTTTCTTTCGTAGGACCATACGAAGCAGGTGTCGCTAAGTATAAACACATGTACTTCAACGCTACATACAACACATTCAAAATATGGGTGATCACGATGGTGTGTGCAATCATACTGTACGAATGCACCAAAAACATTGTAAGCATTTGTTTTGACAGGCAACTGCGTTATAAAATGGTGTTACTGTTTATTTTATCAATGTTTTCGCACTACTATTCTTGGTTAGTTTGTTACTAAGACCGATTTTGTTGAGCTTTTACGGTACAATGTTTTCAAGGTGGTCGTTTGTAAACTATTGGAATGATGACTTCTATTCGCAATGGAATCATCAAATATTCTTCACTATCACCGAACTCTACTCTACTTGCATTGTGTATAAAATATGCGATCGCAGAAAAGAAATAAATAAAGGACACTTGTTTTCCATTATTGCCGTGGGCTTGATGCATATGTTAGCTGCTGGCTTTGATCAGTTTGTTATAAATGTGATTGGAGGACATGGATACGCACATCAAGTAAGACATATTTTGTGTCAATAGTCTTGAAATAACTGACGAACAATTTTATAACTAGTGTAAATCAACAATAAATGTAATATGTTATACACCCTCAAAAATATTGATGTCTACAGCAAATTAAATGAATTATATCAATGTATTCCATATATTATTTTCAGGATTTACTACATGTCATTTTTGGTTCAATTGTTTCTTTTATAATAATCATATGCGCATTTTGTATTTTTTTAAATTTTGTTGTTAGTTACATAAATAAATTATTAGCATTATATAACTTTTTCCCACAATTCTGAAGCATATGTTGCATTATTTACTTAATAATTCATGGACTATAACACAATAAAATTGGCTAAGTATAAAGAACAGATTTATTTTACTCAAAACACACTAGACTTTAAAATTTAAATTAGTTCTACTTAATATAAGAAAGAACCCCTCTTATATTTCCTGTAAATATGGAGAACATATTTTTTAGTAACTCTCATTTGTTCAATTAGATACTCAAGTTCCTAATTCAATATCAAATAAATCATCCATTAGTTTTTTATATACTTATTTATTTATTTTATATACTGCAACTAATAGTAAAATAGGCATCACTTTTAAGGACATTGTTTTCCGTAGTTCATATAAAATTATTATGAAGCCGCTGAAAATTAATTTCATAAAACTTCATATGTCTAATAAAATTTAAGTATAGAATCATTTTGGATTATTGCATTCATGGTTTTAAATTTTTTTTTGTTTTCTTGTATTATTAAATCTTCCAACATTTTTCCCTATCCTGTTAATATGTTTCTAATTTTATTTCGTTTAGTGTAATTATCAATGTATCAACTTAGTATACTATCAAGTATGATTCACACTAGTCAGACACATACTATAACATTTTGCGAAATATTTCAATACTTGTTTAAGTATAATAATTCATTTTAACATGCTAAATGAGCATTCATTCAGTAACAAATCAACAGTCCGTCCAGCATTTCAGGCAAAAATGTTTTGTCGGGACATCCTGTGTCTGTATTGGAACAATACATGATAATACAATACCAACAGTATGGTGTTCTGAATTGTATGAATTAACTATGTCTTAAACTGTATGGTACCTGACCGTAGTAAATTACTTAAATCTTTGATTTTCAGGTGATAAGAGATCTCTTCTTAATGATACCAGATATACTAAGTATCATTATACCATTATGGGAATTAAAAGACCGAAGGTTAACTATCAAAAGCAGATATGAAGAGGATCCTAGCAGTTTTAAAGAAATATTATTACTAGTCATGATAGTGATCTCTGGATTGATTATTGTTTCATTACTTTAATACACATGTTTATTATAACTATTAAAATGTATGAGTATAACTATATTTTGATTGCCTTAGTACAATATAAGTTAATAACATTTGAAATTGGTGCATTTGTTTTGAGGTAGTGCAAAGTAGTGCAACGATTACAACAATTAACACAAATTAATCTACAATATAATGGTAACAAGTATGTCATAAAACAAACTGACATCAATGTGCATTCATACAACATATAAATAGTGAATAGGTATATAGAAATTAAGACACCCTAGCACTTTTGGTACAATTATCCAAATTATTCTCCACCAGCTTGATTCCTATAATAAAATAACACAATTTATTAAAAAAAACTCATTTATATTTAAATTAAAAATATATTCCTACAAGTTACATTTTTCCAGATTTATTTCATCAGACCTGTAATGTTATACAAAACAATTTAGTTAAATAAATTAAAACTCATGAAATATTATGCATGCATTTCAAATAATAAGGATTTTTAGGACATGAAGATAATGTTATTTGAGTAAAAAATGAATATTTTAAAAATAAATACCGCACAATCATTAATTTATTTTTCATGTATTTTATCATAATTGATTCATATAATAGGCAAATACTGTTAATAATAAACTAAATTTTGATGGTTTTTAATGGCTACTATTTACTTAAAATAGCTATGACAATATAATTTATTTTTATTTTGATAGGTTAAATACAATATAAAACCAATACATCCAACAATACAGAAGCTATTTTCATACATATACATGCAATTTTATGGTTACAAACTAAAAAAATATGGTACTTAACAAAATAGGAAAAAGTAAAAACTAAATAATTTTTAAAATCTACATGTATTAAAATTTAAAGAAACAATTTATTAAAAATATGATGTATCCTTAAATAATAATTAGAATTGAAGTATTTAAATATATATTTGCCAAAGTTAATTTAATATTTAAGTATTATAAATTCAATCACTATATCAGTTAAAAAGGTTTAATGTTATCAAAACTAAAATTGATATTTTAAAATTAAAAACAAGTTAAATAAATGCAATAACTCATAAAATAAAACAAATAACATTATTTTTAATGCAGAAAAATAAACACTTTTTGATAACAATTTTATCATGAAACACATATTTTCAACATATACAAATTGACAGCTTATTTAACTTACTTGCTGGTATTTATTTTCATTTGTTCAATTAGATCTTTAGGTACTAATTGTCCAGTACAAATTTTATGAATAGTGGTAAATAATGGGAAACTGAAAAATTATTAAAATATAATTACTTAAATATAAATTGGCATTTAAAGTATATATCTTACTCATTTTCCATATTTTTATTTTTGAGCATAAAGTTTACTTCGGCAGCTGTAATTGGCCCTTGGAGTTTTTGTCCATTTAACATTTCTTTTTCAAGTTCTTCAATGGACTTAAATAATCAAAAAAATGAATAGTATTACCATGCATTGCGGTTATTAAAAATACTAATATATTTACTAATTTACATTTTGTACATTTTACAACCATTATAAATATAGTTATTATTCAGTATATATTTGATAAATACATTAAAAATATTCCTATAAATCATTTAAGCCTAATTAAAAACTATAACAAATATGAACATTCAATTAAATAACATTGGATAGATGGAGGATCATATTTAAATTAATTTCAGTTATTTTATATATTTTATAAAATGTAGTATCTTTTAATTGCTATTTACATTAATTTAGTTAACTTAAAAAGTATAATAATTGATTTAATTTTTAATTTAATTTAAAATGTATTGATACACAAATTATTTAATATTAAATAGTCAATTTATAACCTAACCAACATTTAATGATAATAACCAATGTAAGTATTCTAATAAATATACAGTATGCAACACAAAACTCAATTTTAAATTAATTAAATTATGGTTTTCAGATAAAATCATGTGAGTTTTCTAAGTAAAATTTAAATATAAATTTGAACAATAACTATCAGACTATAAAAATTTATAATTATAATATATTATAACCTTAGTTCTAATATCCTACTAATAATAAACTGAAAATTATTTTTGTGTCATGATCAGAAAAAATATCAACCAAGAGTTATATTGTCTAGAACAGTGATTCTCGACCTGTGGGTGCGCCCCCTTAGGAAGGCATAACAAAATTTCAAAGGAGACGTAAAAATGTTGAAAAAAACACGAAAAATGAAAAGGTTGCCGTTTTATATACTGTGCTTTGCCGCTGTGTCAGTCGTCGCCATTTAAATTTTTTTTTTTATGCAAATAAATCAATTTAAATTAAAAAAACCTCATTGAAGTTGTATTCTTATTAATCTAATAATCAACATTAAAGTATATTATATATATATATATATATATATATATATATATTATGCACACATCAATCTTATGGTAACGAGAAGGATGAACGTGAACTCATAAAATAGTTTTAAAAGGGGCCGGGAACTTAAAAGGTAGAGAACCCACGGTCTAGAAGACATAGAGGTCTATTTGATCTACATCCTTTAAATTTAAAATATATTTCTGTTTGAATAATATAAAATTTTACTAATCACCTAGCTAAGTTCCAATATATCATGAAAATACCACTAATCAAATCATTATATTAATACATTTTGAAAAATATAAAATATTTAAGTTTTCATGAAAAATCCAATTTTTAGATACTTTTCTGTTTCGTAAATTTATATTAAGTTAGTGCAAAATGGTTAATAAAATTATATATAATTGGAAAATATATTTTAGCTGATTAAAATATAGAATCATTTAATTTACTTTTCCTGATGTCACATAGGCTTCAGATACTTTTCTGTTGCGACCACCATAACATGTTGTGATTAAATCAGCAACACCACAGGATTCCAAAAATGTAGCAAGACGAGCACCAGAATAAAATGTATCAACAAATTTAATCATTTCCATAAGACCTATACGTATGATGGCTGCTTTAGTATTATCTCCAAGTGTTAAACCATCAATAAAACCAGCTCCAACAGCAACAATATTCTAAATTAACATAAAATATATTGATAGGTATACAATATACAAATAAATAATTTTTAAAATAATCATACTTTTAAGGCTCCACAAATTTCAACAGCTTCAACATCATCAACAACAGAAACACGGAAATAGTCAGTCTGAATTAAATTTTTAAGAATTTGCCCAACTGTTTTGTTTCTACATCCTATATAAACAAAACAATTTTTAAATATTAAAATAAAATATTTCAAGTTTAAAATTTACCAATTGTTGTTTCACTGAACTTTTCATCAGCAATTTCATTGGCCAAATTGGCACCCATCAACACCGAGACATCAATTTTTAAATGTCTTTTGATAATTTGTGAAATAAGATCTATTCCACCACCCTCAGCTACATCAAATCCCTTTAAAATACATTAAGACTATGAAAAACAATTTATTTTATTTTTTTTAGTCATACTTTAATTAATGATAGAGCTACAGCAGTAGACTTAATGTTTCCTTCAAGACTAGAGCACAATTTTGGTATGAATTGATGAGGAACAACAAACACTAAGATATCAGCATCTTTAGCCGCTTCAACAGCATCTGGTACAGCAACCTAAATAAAATATTAACTTCTTACAGTTTAATCATAGTTTACATTTTATTTAATAAGTTATTAGCAAGAAGACATTAAATAAAAATTCATATCTTAATTAAATGAATGAAATATATATATATATATATATATATATATATATATGTAAATAAACCTAAATAAAAGGATTTGATAATTCGGAGTTAGACATAAGTGAACATTTATATAATAAGTACTTAAATATAAGTTTTTTAAAAGATAAAACATTATAATTTATTCTTTCAAATAAAGTGAATTGTGTTTATTTAGTATAATATTTGTGTCATTAAATTATTAAATAATAATGTGGTATCTAATATATAATATCTTTAACATTTTAAGATTCTAACTAAAGGTTGATAATGTTTTTTATTTAAAATGAGTTAGGTAATTTTTGCTTAAATTTTTGAAAAATTAATGCAAGAAAACTCTTGATAACAATATTTAGTAATGAAACTTAAAAATATTTTTTGTAAGGTAAGTTTGAAACAAAGCAAAATTAATTATTTTCACAATTATTTTTATAAAATCTATACTAATATTATAAAGCTGAAGAGTTTGTTTGGTTTAAATCACTAATCTTAGGAATTACTGGTTTGAATTTAAAAATATTTTTTAGTTGGATTGTCCATTTATTGAGAAAAGCTAAAAGCTATATAAAATTTTTAGAAAGTCTTTTATACCTGAGACACCAACTGGTGATGATGTTTACCCAATCTACAGGCGCAGATATCCAGATATGGTGTAAACAGGAATTGTTTGTGGCAAAGGAACAGAAATAAGCGTGGATAATAGGTGGGTTGTTCCTTATAATCCAGTCCTTTCACAAAGTTTCAATGCGCACATAAACATAGAATTTTGTATATCTATCAAAGCTATTAAGTATATATGTAAATATATTCATCAAGGTTCTGATCAAGCCACATTTTCTTTTCAAAATGTTATCAATGAAGTAGAAAAATATTGGAATGGTCTCTATATTAGTTTCTCCAAAGCTCTTTGGAAAATTTTTCAATTTCCTATTCATGAACGTTTCCCAACTGTAGTTCATTTGACAATTTATTTGGAAAACAGACAAAGAATTTATTTTAATAATGAAGATCTCCAAAATCGGGTCAACAATCCTTACAGCATTATTTGATCTTTGTAAAAACTTTTATATTTTATATGGAGAAGTACCTCAATATTACACATGGGAAAGAAAAACATTTTCCAGAGTGAAGCGTGGGTAAGAAGTTAATGGATTCCTGGTGTAAAAAAAGATACAGTTTGTTTTTTTACCAGTTTATTTGGATACTGAGACATTACAAAATACACAAAAACGAATTAGATGATATACAAACTAAAAAAACAGCAGCAACCGAAGCTCCCGAATCAAAATATAATACAATAATAGACACAAAAATTATATAAAATTTATCATGCAAAATCACTGGTCCAACCAAAATACAAAATTAAGAGTAATAAAACAACATATCAATTCCTGGTAACAATTAAAAACATCAAGAAAAACAGAAATAATAATAAACCGACTAAGAATCTGCCAAACATGTCTTATACATGAATACCTCATGCAAAACCAACCACCAACTAAATGCACTTCATGTGGAGTTGTACTATCGATTAAACACATAATGTTGAAATGCAGAACAAAAAAAAAAAAAAAAAAAAAAAAATAGAAAAAAATACAAAATAACCACAAATATCTTTGAAACAATTGGTACCAATTGCCAACCTGAGAGTATACCAAATTTCTCAAGAGCACAGAAATATTTAAATACCCATAAAAATAATAATAATAATAATAATTAGTCATAAGTTCCATATTGTAAATATTAAATATATTAAGTAGTAAAATAATGTAAATGTTCATCAGAAAAAGTTAATGGCCGTCAAAGCTAAAGTTCAATAAAAAAAATAGTAATTAAGATTTACAAAAAATTCTAAAAATTGATTTAATTACTAAACTAATCAACAAACCTTAAAATTTTTTTTTGGACACTGATAGGTACAATGTACAAAATACAAATTTTTTCTATAGCACATACTAGAAACAAATATGATAAACATAAGTAAATTTGAAGTTCAAATATATTAAATCGGACTCTAATGACTAATATTTGTTTTACGGAATATAGAATAATTAATAAAATATTTGTTGACCCCTCTTTCTTTTCTTATATAATATAATAATTTATTAACAATAATCAGTTTTATATGAATTATTGCTGTTCCAAAAATTACATTATAAGGTAATTAACCACTTATAATTCATGGCAACAAGATTAAAAATATTTCTAAACCATGACTTATAATAAATAATATATTAAATGAAGCCTAATTACATAAAAACTAAATTAATAACTAATATTCATTTAAAATTCCAATAAATTAATATTGAAATAATTAGTAAAGACAAAAAAAATTAATTGAGATACCAAATTTTTTACTGCCAAAATATTGACAGTAAATCAAATTAATATAAGAAAATTGAAAATTAAATGATATTGAATTTTAGTTAAATGTTCTTAATTTCACAGTTACATATTCTATGGAATATGACCTACAGTTAAAAAAAATAATTCATACAAAACAACCTTTAATCCTGTTTACATAAAGTATAAGAATTAATTCTATACACATGAGATGTACACTAGGATGCATAAACATTTATTATTTTATATAGACACTATAATATATACAGTTAAGTAAAGAATGAAATAAGTTTAAATAACTTTAAATATATATATATATATATATATGAATAGTCTTAAATTATAGAACAGGTTATCACCAATCAACAATATAAATACTATAATTATAAAAAGAAAAAACTTCATACAGGTTTGTTATTTTATTTTTGACACATAAATCATTAAAAATAATTTCATAATAAATTAAAATTTAGTAATTACAATAGAAAAATAAAATTTCTCCATAAAATATAAGAAAAATGGTCTGTTAACTTTAGATAAGCTCAAAGAAGAATATAATATAATATATATTACATGAAAAATAAAAACGTTTTAAAGTTCTAAGAAACAGGAGTATATTATTGCACATAAAACAATTTTATTTGTAGTTTATCAAGTCTACCATAATTTTTATTTTAAATACAGCAATAGCTCGAGTCATTGAATATTTAATTGAAAAACTGTAGAATTTTTACATTGGTTGGAGTGTTACAGCATAATGTAACACAGAAGCATGACTTTGGTACTAGAAACCTGAATAATCATATATCCAGGAGCAAGCAATATTAGGCAGTGTTATATTACATTACAGATCTATGTCTGTGGCTAACCAATGCAACACAACATATTATCAATCACAATTATATTAAAAATAAATTACCAATTATTAAAACATAAAATGTTCATTTTGTTTCTTTTTTTCAATATTTGTGATGATACACGTATATTAAATACAACTAAATAAAATAGGCAAATCAATTTATAAAAATAAAGATTTATATTTAAAATTCTGAGCCAAATTAAGGATGTATCGGTTAATATAATTTTAATGTTTTTTATTATTTTTCTTCTGTAATCGCTAGATTTCAAATAATTATACAAATAATAAGTGTTTACTAAAAAATGTATTCCAAATACATAAAAACAATACATTAGACACAAAAAATACAAAAAAAGGTTTTTTTGTTTTTTTAATTTATTATTTATATTTAAAAATAGCTCGAAAGATGTACTCAAATCTTGTAAACTTAACAGCTAAGATTAAATCAAAAGAAAACAAACAGGTATGTAAGTGACCTTTTAAATACTCAGATTTAAAAATAGTTATAATTTTTAAAAACTACTGAATAAACCTTGATCTAATTGTTTGAAAATACAATTACGTAATTTTATTTTAAAGATATAAAATCTTATTTAAATATACACCAAATTTATAGTAAATTTATAACAAATCATAGAAGTTTTAAAAATAATGTACCTATAAATATAATAATAAAACAATAACAAATTCAATAAAAAACTTACCACATTTTCAGGAAGTTTTTTGCCAGGTAAATATTTCACATTTTCATGGGTGGTGTTAATGATTTCAGTCAATTTTTTCCCATCAATAAGTTCTTCAAAGACCCACATATTAACAGTGGAATCAAATGAATCTAAACGTGCTGCATTTGAACCAATAATTTTTGCTATTGCTGAACCCCTGTATTTTAAAATAAAATAATTTAATTTAAATTTGAATTAACCTTATTTAGAACTTAAGATATAAGGTAAGCTAATATTTGAAAAATTTGCTTCAAAACAATTCAACTTTTCACATAATAAAGAAAGATAATAACATGCTATCATTAGTTATTCATAATAATAATAATACTTATAGTATATAATCAATGACGTTATGTATAGTATACAGGGCCGTCCCAAATGGGAGTCTTGGGGGTATCTCACCCCCCCCTCATTCCTTTCAACGAAAGCACCAGTTGGTGATCGGACTTTATTATAACCTAAAAGCACCTAATTTTACTGAACGAAAACAAAAACAATTACATATTTCGTAATACAGTGTATACACAAATAAAATTTATAGAACTACTTATTATACAATATAAAATATTATTATATACGAGTATATATAATTAAATTGTCAATTTTAAGAACATGCGACACTGACACATATATACATGTTAAAAAGTGAAAATAGAACTACATATAGTTAATTATATTACATACATTGAGTAAAAAAATTGTAGTCAGCATTTTTCATATTATTCACCCCCCTGATTTTCATCTTTGGGACGGCCCTGATAGAATAGGCCAGAAACTCTATTACTCTATATATTTAAACTCCAAAAAAGCAATTTATTACTTATATATTACATTTTTATGTTACAGGATTTTTTCCCCATACTGTGTAGAAGTATATATGCACAGCTACCAATACGTTTATATGGTAAATAACAATTGTAACAATTTATCATAATTTTTATTCAGAATTATATAATACAATTTTTATTGTCGATTATGTTTGATTTGATTATATTTAGTGATTTACACTAATAAATTACAATTTGATTAGCTTAAATATAACATTTTATTTTTAATCTTAATACAAATAATATGTTAATCAAACTTAAATTACAGATATTTACTAAATATTTCAACTCAGTAAACACAATTATTATCAAGCATACAAAAATAATTATTATTTTACATTGATTCTCTTTGGTTCATAATGTTATACTTTATTAAAAATTAGAAGTATTAAAGAATAAATAGTTTAATAATAACAGAGAATAATTAACAGCAGTGGTTTAAATAAATTTAAATATTACCATAATCAATTTTACCTAATAATAAATAAATTTCAATAACTAAGTACTACTTAAAATTTTGGGTCGTTATTTTTTTTTTTTTTTTTTGATTATTCAGTTCTAAACTTTCATATAAGAATGTGATAATTTAAAAAAAAAAACTCTAGATGCAAAGGCATAGTGAAAAAAATAGTACATTTTTATACCTACTTCCCAATTGTATAAAACCATATACTTTGTACTTCACATAAATAGCAAGATAGATATTTTAATATTTTGCTCACATTTTTTAACTGTTTGTAAAATAATCATAAAATAATATTCCACGTGTCTCAATTACATACATCAAAACAATTTGAGATAATCAATGATAGCCTATTGAAGTAAAACCAAATAATACTAGCCAATTAAAATAATCAGTAATTTGATTCATTACTACTATTGATATAAAAAATTATATCTTATGTAAATGCAACCAAAATAATAATTAGGTGAAGGTATTTAATTACTTTAATTTAAATACTTCAATAATTTGTGTTGGCTAAAGTTGTAATTAAAATTTATTTATAACAGAACACTCAAAATACATTAACAGGCATCTATAAATACATAAATAAATATACATAACAAAGAAAGAGATATATAAAGCATATGTACAGTATAGATTTTTGTAACTTATTTTAAGAACAACATTCAAATAATTTATAAGTCATCAAGAAAATTCTAAAAATTTATCCTAGAAAAATATAAAACTATATTAATCTTTTATACTTCAATTCAAATTTGCATAAGAACATAACTATTAATAGAAACGTCAAAAAAGTTAAAAAGATGAAGGTTATCCATACGTTAATTGATGACGAATTACAAAAATAACAATAAGTTATAACAAAAATGTTGATATATTATAATAAAAAATTATATATGCATAAGTAATACATTTTAAAATAAATAAAAAATATAAAGCTACTTAGAATTAATCGAATAATTTAGTTAAACTAATCTAATCTAAGCAATGCTATAAAATTTATTCTATTACAGTGAAATTATAAAATTATCAATTTAATTGGTATTTTTAAACATAAAATTTTGATTGGAATAATCACATCAATATATTTCTATGCAATTAATGATTAATTTAATTTATAATATTTATGCATTTAAGCATTTCTTTTTATAAATTACTTAAATCGTGAATACTATTAAAATTAACCAATATAAATATACATAAGATCAATAAAGTTCCTTGAAATAGTTAAAATTATTATTTAAATCGTTAATCCCAACGTAAATTGTACGTACCAGTTTCCAGATCCTAATATACACACTTTTTCTTTAGATGCCATTGCTGGTAAATGAATATGACAAATTAATTGAAAGTTAAAAAATAAGTTCAACCACGTACAAGGCGTCGGACAAAACTGACGTTTTGAGGTGAAAATTTTTGAATATTTCAATAAGCTGATCGGTCTTATCATTTTAAAATGAACGACCTTAACCTTCACGGTGAAAACTATTACAGGGAGCCAACGTGAACAATTTGCGCAAAAAATTGTTAAGGAGTTATCGTTAAATATAATCGAAACGCATAAGAAATCGTACAACTCCGCAATAACATCCTCATACTATACGCAAGCGGAAATTTTTAACAATGCTAAAAATCTAAATCCCCGAAAATGTCATTATAATAATATTACAGAATAAATAAAAAATTATTATTATTGTTATTATTATTTTGATTATATTGTGCCGATAAAAATTAACCTAAAACTGTGTGTTTACATTTTTTTCCGCGCTTTTCGCACGCTTATTGAAACGTACGACGCGTAGCCCCACTGCAATAGTAATGCGAAATGCGGTATGCAAAATGTTTTATTTAATCCGCGATCGTGTGACACTCCAGCAGGTATTCGTTAATATCGACTAGTGGGTTCCGATTACAAGTAATTCGAGTGTTGTAGAGGTATTTTCGCAGTTTTCGAACGGTACGTGAAATACTACCGGTAATTTCCATATATATTATCACTTCGATTACCATATTCGAGGTTTTCGTTCTAAAAACAATCGCCATGAAGTATATACTGGTCACCGGCGGAGTTATGAGCGGTGTGGGTAAGGGCATAATCGCTTCGTCCATCGGCACGTTGTTGAAGTCTTGTGGAGTCCACGTGACGTCTATTAAAATCGATCCTTATCTTAACATTGATGCCGGAACTTTTTCGCCTTACGAACACGGTGTGTAAAGTAGTATCACGTGTACAGCGACTACGTTACGTTCATGTCGTGGGACATTTACAGATTGTAATCGGTGTTGTTATTGTTTACCCAGGCGAAGTGTATGTACTGGATGACGGTGGTGAAGTCGATTTAGATTTAGGAAATTACGAACGGTTTCTAGATGTCACGTTACATAGCCAAAACAATATTACCACTGGAAAAATATATCAAGAAGTCATCAATCGGGAAAGACGAGGCGATTACCTAGGGAAAACCGTTCAAGGTACATCCTTTTTAAATCTACTAGGGATCTTGTAAATATCTATTTCTTTTTTTGCTATAATTAAATTTTTAAATTAAAAATTTATTTTTCATTAATAATCTTATAATTGTATTATTAATTACCTATTCAAGTTGTATGTACATAATATTAATAATAATTTGATATTCATGATAATAACTAATTGTATGTTTTAGTTATACCTCATATCACAGATGCTATACAAGAATGGGTTGAACGTGTTGCCCAACAACCAGTGAGTGATGATGGAGTAGAACCTGATGTAAGGCTAATAATTGTGTATCATATACTCAAGTGATGATATAGATAATATTTAACATGTACTTCCATTTAAAAAATGTATTACCCCTAAATATCTCAGTAGGTAGAATTATAAATATAAAAACTATAAATTAAAATGTATTTTTGTTCAAAAATTACTAAGGTACATTATAAAATTTAATTATTTTTTACTCAACATTAATAATAAATAATTATTTTTGATTTTCTATAATTTTTTTTCTTATGTCCAATTCAAAGTGTGTGATATCTATCCTATAGTTAATACATATTCTTCTGTATGTACCAAAACTTCACTAAATATATGTTATATTTTATTGTGAATAATAAATATAAATTTGATTATATTCATCAGGTTTGTGTTGTTGAACTTGGAGGTACAATAGGTGACATAGAAAGTATGCCATTTGTCGAAGCCTTTAGGCAGTTTCAGTTTAAAGTGAAAAAAGAAAATTTAATTTGCGCTCATGTTTCTTTTATACTACAGGTACATGTATTTCATAATCTGTTGTGATGTATTTTTAATTAATTTTTTTCTAATATGTTTGATCTATAGCCTGGTGCAACTGGAGATGATAAAACAAAACCAACGCAAGCTAGTGTTCGCGAACTTAGAGGTTTAGGATTAACTCCTGATCTTGTTATTTGCAGAAGTACCAAACCCTGTTCTAATGTAGAACAAGTAAAGAAAAAAATATCAAATTTCTGTGATGTGGCTTTAAAACAAGTATGTTAATAAGTTGTGTATAAATTCAATTTTATTTTAAAATAGTGTTTTTTATTTTAGGTATTATTTATGCATGATTTGGATTCAATATACAAAGTACCTTTATTCATGGAAAAACAAGGAGCATTAGACTTTTTACTAGATCGTTTAAATTTACCCTCAAATCCATCTTATAATAGGATTTTCATGAAACAATGGAAGAAACTGTCTGAGAAGTAAGTGCAAATACATTTTTTTTTTAATCTATTTTTTCAGTTTATATGGTTTTAATATTAAATATTAAAAGTCTTAAACTTAACCTTTATACCTTTTAAGCTTAACCTTTAATTACTAACTATTTAACATTGAAGTATTCAAATTATAGAAACATTACTTAAAATAACGTAATTTATTTACTTTTTGTTAAATTCCTTTGATTTTATATTTATTTAGTATAAAACTCTTGCATGCACTGTATTCAGTTTTTTTACGTAAAATATTAATAATATTAATTAATATATATTATACAACTATATAATTGTCATTATGTATTAACTTTTTCAAATCTAGCTATCATAACATTTTTCCTGAATACAGTGACAAAATTAACTAAATTGTTGAAATATATTTCTATGATTGCACAAGCTTATAAATGATAATAGATGTTTTTTTTTTTTTTTTTTTAATTAGCATAATTAATAATTTCTGTACATTTATATGTTATCTGAAGTATTAAAATACATATAAGGGTATAAATAATTAACAGTTTAAAATCCAATATTTATGTATTGTTTATTGAATTATTTAGAAAAAATTTCTACTTCACAATATGAAATAAAAATTAAATAATTATTATCGTATATTAAAATAATCTTCCTGGATGTATGTATAATTGTGTCTCATAATAATATAATATTAAACAAATAGATGAATTTCAATCAAGTATTAATTGCCTTATTGTTTTTTTAGATTGGATAATTCCCAAAAAATAATAAAAATTGCGTTAGTTGGGAAATATACACAACTGACTGATGCATATGCGTCAGTGTCCAGATCTTTAATCCATGCTGCTGCTCATATTAATCATAAAGTTGCTATTACAGTAATAATATAATATACACTTTTAAAATAGTATTTTATAATTGATTTCAAAGTGTGCCTTATATTTCTAGTATGTAGAAGCTGCTAATTTAGAAACTGAAACCAAGTTATTAAATCCAGTTGATTACCATGAAGCATGGCAAAAACTATGTCGGAGCGAGTGAGTTCATTATTTATTTAATTTAATCATTATATTTATTTGTGTGGTTTTTTAATTAGTGGAGTAATTGTTCCTGGAGGTTTTGGTACCAGAGGTGTTGAAGGAAAAATTGAAGCATGTAAATGGTGTCGTGAAAATAATAAGCCTTATTTAGGAATTTGTCTTGGTTTACAAGTTGCTGTTATTGAATTTGCCAGGTAATTTTTTATTCATATATTATTTAGATTATACAAATAACTAATGTATTCATTGATATTCTTAGAAATGTATTAAATTTGGAAAATGCAAATACTACTGAAATTAATCCAGATACCAAAGAACCATTAATAATTGAAATGCCTGAACATTGTCCTGAAAATAAAGGAGGAACAATGAGACTTGGTAAACGAACTACAATATTTAAAAAAGAATGTTCGTCTATCATATGTAAGTAAAACATTAATAATTATATACCGTGTGTTCAATTTTAAAGGTAACAGGACATATTTCAAATGTGCAAGACCTTAAAATTCGGGTTTTTTTTACAGGGTACAGGATTTATAAACACATATGTTTTTGATAAATTCTAATTTTTAACTTTTTTTTTTTATCTGCGCATGCGCAGTAAAATAAAAATTTTTTAAATAGAAACCACCATTTTTGACACTGGATTTGGTTTTCTCTATTTTTTTTTTTAGCAACTTTGATCTTTACAGTTTTTTGGTATGTTCAAAATTGACATTTTTAAGATGGTCGAAAATTTTAAACTAGGTAATTCGTATTTATTGCAAGATAAAGATCAAAGTTGCTCAAAATAAAAATAGAGCAAACCAAATCCAATGTCAAAAATGATGGTTTCTATTTAAGAAATTTTTATTTTACTGTGCATGCGCTGATAATAAAAAGTTAAAAATTAGAATTTATTAAAAACATATGTATTTATTGTCCTGTACTCTGTAAAAAAAACCCGAATAGAATTCAAGGTCATGCATTTGAAATATTTCCCGTTACTTTTAAAATTGAACACATGGTATGTTATACATGTTTCAAGTAATAACTTATTTTGGTAAATTTTTTTACCCATCTCTTATAACATTTCCCAGTTAGATTTAATTCCTCACTTATTACTAACAATTGATAGTAAATAATTAAGTTATTAATATAATAAGCATTAATTAATAGAACCAAAAAAATATGAAACATATAATTTCACATGTCACCTAATGTTAGCTTTGTATATATTTATATGAATAATACATCTCTGGGTTTATACAATTTTAGTTAAACTTTATGGTAGAAAACAAACTATTGAAGAAAGACATCGACATCGTTATGAAGTGAACAATAACTATGTGGAGCATTTAGAAAAAGCTGGTTTGAAGTTTGTTGGAACAGATACAGAAAAAATTAGAATGGAAATATGTGAACTTGAAGGTCATCCCTTTTATGTGGCTACACAATTTCATCCTGAATATTTGACCCGGCCTTTAAAACCATCACCACCTTTTTTAGGTTTAATGTTGGCCTCTAGTGGCAAACTTAAATCATATCTTGATAATGAATGTCGTTTTACACCAGATGAAAGCTGTTCAGAAGATGAATCTGAAGGTAATTTAAAAAATTTAATTTATAACTACAATTGGAATTAAAAATGCTTTAATCCCCATATTAAATTTAATTAATTAATGAAATATTCTAAATTCTGTATATGTAGATATATCATTCAAACTTCAAAATCTCGTGATGCCTTCAATTGTCAACAATAAATCTATATGAATCCATTCAATAAAAGTATATATTATCTTTTTCAAATACACTTTATTTTAGTTGTTTATGAGCTGTTTAATTTGTAAGCCATTGATCTATCACATAGAATAATATTTTGTTATTCAATATTACTGTTTTATTTCTAATAGATTATGTTAATTTTTTAATAATTGATGTGATTCTTTTATTGTGACCTAATTAAAATATATGTTATAAGTTAAATTATGACACTTTATTTATTTTTCTAACCAAAATACTAAACAAATACAATAAATTGAATTATTAATTATATTTATTCATATCCATATTAATATATCTTAATATATACTTATTGTATTTTGAAGAAATTAAAACATTCAATATGATACTATCACATATTATTTGATGACAATTAAGACTGACATTTTTGATTAAATATAGATCAAATCATGACTTTCAATACTTGGTATCTTTTTTATTTTTATTTTTCAATATCTATTTTATTTTCCTACAATGAAAGAGCTTTTCAATTAATTATTAATATTTTTGATTAAAAAACATGTGTTTAACACAAACATACATTTATCCCAATCAAATGCAACATAAAATGTAACATTAACGTTGATAGCCTGCCATGAGATAAATGTCCATCAGTTGTGTTTCTTCAACTTAATTTTTTGTCTGGAATCAAATAAATTTAAACATTGTTAGGATAACCACTTTAGAGTCTAGGTCTATTAAAAAAATAATTCAGCCTGTAGTGTTGGGTGCCACTTCCATGGCATAGGTAACAAAATTCTGAAATAACTTACTTATAGGTTTCTTTTGTAGTTTTTGAATGTTGATACTTTGGAATCTATGTTAAATTTCAATTTAACAAAGTATTACAAAGATGTATTTATGAATCATTAACTTTTTGTTACTACAGCAAATTTTTTCTAACAAGTATATTTTTTTGGTTAATGATGTGTTAAAGTTAGACATTTTATTCAAAGTTATTCTTAATAGAAAGTATATGAACAACTTATAATTGGTAAACAATTTTTTTATTAATACTTTACAATTTACATAATGTATCCATTTAATTTAATACATTTCAAATCATATAAAAATAATTATTAAGATAAAGTCTTAATTGTTTGTATCCATTTTTTTACAGTTTCATTGTATTAATTTTACAATCTGTATACAGCTACATAAGTAATTATTACTATTTTAATATAATAAATCAATGATCAATTAATCAACAATTATACATGTAACACATATTATAAATATATAGATAATTTTGATGAGTTTTAATAATAGCAATATAAGAGTTGTCTTGAAAATTATGGTGGAAAAGTCGAAAGGAAAAAAAGATGCAACTAAGTTATTGAAGAACAAAAGAAACAATTTACCAAATAATAATTTATTTATATAACTAACTAAAATTCCAAAATACTACCAGTGGTTTTGAAATCTCTTAAACATGACAATTAAATTTAAATTAAGTTGTAGTAAACAAATTTATTGGGTAGTAATTTGTACATTTTAATTTTCAATCTTTCGGTCTGAATTCATTTTCCACTATACCCTAATTCAGTATATCTATATATTTATATAAATAATATAATATAATACATGTATAAATATTTTATTTATATTCTGTTAATTATAACGACTCATAGAATCATTAATAGAGATTACAAACATTAGAAGTGTCGTCACACACCCTGCTCCCCCAAATGACAACCGTTATAAATATTTGTTAACCATATCTGCATTTAATTAACATTAAATAAAATCCCAGATGATTTGGAACCTTCCAACACTTTTAGGTTTAAGTTTTTCAAATGCTGATGGAGATACATCAATATCATTTACTTTGCAACCTTCGCATTTATCTCTAATTGTTACTTTAATAGATTTTAATGTTGTAGGATCGATTATTTCTACTTGTCTTCCACACATTGGATCCATATTAGGATTCGGTGAGGTAAAATAACTAAATGCTATTGCTGCAACCATGTCACTATTAGTATATACTTGACCACATGCAGTTAATCCCAAATCATAATATGTTATATCTCCTTTTTTTTTTAATTGTACCATATCCGATATACCGATTATATTTTTACAACAAGAATATACATAACCTTTACTACATGGTGATCGTCTCACTTCGTTCATATTATATTGCTCACAGCCTTTGACTAACCAAGAATCTGGTTGGCATCCGGTCTCCCAACATTCTCCGTGCACAAGATAAAATACAGAAGTTATTAAGTAAATAGTTAAAATAAAAAATACTAATTTATTCATTTTATTTAAATAGTATTAATAATCAAAAAGATAAAACTGACAGTATAAAATTAAAAACGTAATGATGATTCACTATACCTATACTTAAAAAAAACATTTTTCAACGTAAGTATTACCTATTTATACAATTACGAGGTATTCCTACGTACATAATTTTCACAATATAATGATATACATATGTACATGAAAAAAATTTCACATATATGAGGGTATATATAAGGTCATAAACATAGGTCAGCCTAGCTATGACATTGTATATCGCTATTATATAAAGCAGTGGTTCCCAACCTCTTCTATTCTATGCCCCCCTTTGTAGATTTTCAAAAATTTCATGCCCCCTCCTATATATTGAAAAAAATTAATCGCCTTTTTTGTGTACTTTAAAAATGAATTGTACAATATTCGGAATGACCATTTTTTATTGATGATAATAATTATAAAGTATAAATAATAGTAAATAATAAAATGTAAGGTGAAATATTATAATAATAAATTATTAAAAAATATTAATAATAGTTAATAAATATACAAATAAAAATACATAATGATATTAATAATTATTGTTGATGCTAACAATACTTTTCTTTGGACAGTTATTTTTATGTTCGGCTCAATATTTGATAGAGAACACCTTTAGTCAGATACGACATCTAAACGATTCCTATGTTTGTTTTTTATAACTGCCATGCTGGAGAATCCAAATTCGCATAAATAAGTAGATGAAAATTTTACAATGACTTTTAAAATTTCATTTGAAATTTCAGGATAAATGGGTTGGTATTTTACCCAAAACTCTTTCAAAGAGCTACTATTAAAATCAATTTTCGCGTGTGAATCGTTCTTCAGCTCGATTGGAAAATATCGAGTGGGTTCATCAGTCAAACTGTCGAGATGCTTAATCATTATATTTATCAACTCAGCAGGACAAAATGGTTCTTTATCAGACAGAAGTTCGTTCAGTCGACTGGAAGACGAAAAGTGTGGAGTCTCTTTGTTTACTCTGCGTTTCCAAAGCTGTATCTTTTCTAGAAATGCATTGATAGAATCGTTGACAATTATAACGTTGGTATTCCTCCCTTGTAATTTGATATTTAAGTTAATAGACTCAAAAAAATCTGTTAGGTACTTATAGTCTTTATCGGTTATCCGTTACTGATACCCCGATAACGGATATAGAAAACCGGTCAATTATTTTTTTTTTCTCTAAGATTTAAATCAAAAAATAATTTAATCAATAAAAATTGTATTTCGTAATAACTGCTTGTGCCTCTCCAGCAATGTGTGCACGTCCCCCGGTTTGGAAACCTGTGATATAAAGGAATATAATTAGGTGTTCCTTATATTCAGGGCCAGCGCTACTTTTTGCGAGGCCCTGGGAACAATTTATTTGACCAATAACCATAGTCACCAAGGCCGTAATTAAAGGCGATAATATGTAATCAGCAGGGCTAGAATTTGTATGTAAATACATATTTTTACTAAATCATGAAAAATTAATTATTGCAAATGATAAATTCGTTTCACATGATATGCAATAAAATAAGACATATTTTAATTTATATGTTTTTACATATTTCATTATAAATACATAATTTAACATTTGTACAATTTCTTCTTTTGTTTTTTTATATACTTCGTTAATTTCGACAATAATTGAATGATTACGATTAAACAATTATTTCTAAAAGTTCCAAGTAGAATTGAAATATTCAAAAATAACTATCCAAATATCTCGCTTCCTCTGGAACCAATAATAACAAGGGACGAATATGGTTACAAGTCGTAAATTATTGTTCCGAATATACTAAAGCAATAATGAAATTAAAAATATAGTATCTATGTTGGACCAGGGGCGTCATTTGGGGGATTCAGACTATACATTGGTAGCCCTATTTTTTTAAATGTCTGGTTGGCCCGTATAAAATGTTATAATTGCGCCGTCGTCGATAAAATGTAAGATGCAAACGCGCTGTAATGGTGCGAGTTTTTTATAAGAACCTATTGTCCTATTGAAGTATTGAAGAATTTTTTTAAGTTCCACTAAATAAACAGCATATATAAATGGCCTGGTGTAGGGAACAATTGGCCTGATTCAAATGTTTTCATCCCTATTGAAAAGTTGAAATGACACCCCTGTATTGGACTCTGAATATGCAGCATCAATTTCCAAGGGAAAATACATTTTTCAGACCTAATATTAAAGTCTGCTTTATCATATATTGTGTCTAATTTTAGTTTTTGATCAATTCAATATCAAGTTAGAAAACACCAAGATTCTGTTAAGTGAAAACTTAAAAATTATTAATTTAACAATTAAAAAATTAATGAATCAGAGGGTCCAGTAGCTGTAAATAGCTAGAATAAAATGATAGCCAATCTAAACAAAAATTCGGAACTGAAGTCCATTAAATATTTAGGAAACGTTCTTTGTGGTAGGTATTATAAATGAAGACACGATGGAGCTCAATCTTTCACCTAGTGAAATAAGTATGCACCGATAACATCTGGTGATGTGGAACGCTCTTTTAGTAGGTATAAGTCAGTGTTAAGACTAATTCGACATAGTTTTAATTTTGAAAACTTGAAAGAATATGGTTTGTCATTGTTATAATTAGGGTTCGGGACTTATAGCACTTAAAAACACAATAGTAATCGCTAAGGACGCCTGCAAGGAGCGGCAGGGGAGACAACTCCCCCCTAGATTTCCAGCTACTTAAAATAATTATATCCAAATTAAATACCCCAAAATCCAAAAAATCATAATGGGTACTAAGGTGTATTAATATTTATAGCTGGTTACGTTCAACAATGCGTGAGAATCGTTTATCCGGATTATATATGTTAAGTTTATAAAGAAAAAAAATCGAAAAACTTAATTTAGCTGAAAAAATTGTTGATGAATTTGGGAAAAATAAAATAAAATTGAAATTTATGTTCAATTAGTTAATAAAAGTGTTTGATTATTAATAAAAATTAATGCTGTCCCCCCCATGAATTTTCATCTGCGGGCGCCCTTGGTAAGCGCTAAAATATGCGCTTAAAAACCCTAGAATATGCATAGAAATATACATTTAATATATTTATTAATTTATTATTATTTATTATTTTATTAATAATTATTAATTTCATTGTTTCTTGAATTTCCGAGTTTTTTAATTTTATTCGTCGACTATATAATAATTTGAAAAATTTAATTTTTCATTTCAAATAATTTTATATTTATATTTCTTATATTATATTTCTTTAGTTTTACCGAACGTTTAATAAACACATTAAATTATATAATTATCGAATCGCTCGTATCGCAACATATTATATAAATATATAATATTATATTGCGATATGGGTAATCCCAACAAAAACACTCCGTCAACTACTTGTAAAAAAACGTAAAGTAAAAAAAAATTCTGTAAAATGTGTGATATAAGGTGGAATCTAAGTAAATGGTTCAACGTACCAGGAATTAATTCAAAATGAATTTAAATTTGGTTATTTGTATTATTAATTTATAATATAATTTATTTTAACTAAAATTTATCTAAATTTAGTTTACTTGGCCGGAAGATTCAATCTAAAAAATGTATAGCCAAGTACTAAGTTTATGTAATAGATAATGTAGGCTTCATTAAAATAAATAAAATTGTTTCCGGCCAAGTAAACTAAATTTAGATAAATTTTAGTTAAAATAAATCATATTATAAATTAATAATACAAATAACCAAATTTTATTAATCTTGAATTAATTACTGATATGTACATTTTACACGTTAAACCATTTACTTAGATTCCACCTTATATCACACAATTTATAGTATTTTTTTTTTTACACGGAGTTGACGGAGTGTTTTTGTTGGGATATCATTAGTTTTTATAAATTATCATATTTAATAATATACTAGTATATTATTATACGTAATATTTTTTATTTTTTTTTAATTATTATTGTGTAAAAATCTTTTGCACTATGAGGCCATCAATCAAACTGTACAGATGTATCGTTACATCTTAAATTCATAATTTTACCTTCATCATTAACTTCTAATGTTTTATTAAACGTGATAGGTAATATAGTATCACAATAAAAAGGTTCCGTATATTTAGAATGGCGAGATTCACCTAAAATGAATCTTATTAATAGGTAATCTAATTGATCATCATTTAAAACTACCACAGAATGATTAATTTTCTTATTTTTAATTTTTTTAAGATGTTTAAACGTTTTGTACAACATTACATTTTGTTTCTTATAGTTCAACATCCATTTTATAACTCTATCGATAATACACCTACCTTTAATCAGAGGCATTTTTAATTTACCAATTAATCTATTGGTACATTTTTCAATATTTACATAAAATGGAAATAACTGTTTTGATTTTGGCTTTTTTCTGTTTACTGTTTTTTTTACTACTTATTGTACTGTGTTAATACTGCACGGTTCGATAATAGTACTATAACTACTTTCAACCACATATTTAGACTCAGTAGATTCTTGATATTTTTTATTCGCAAAGCTTGCGCCTTTTGAAGTTTAGTTATTATTTTTAATGTAGACAAAACACGACAAGTCACGCCGAATGCGAGACGAAAATTGTAATTAATGGCTACGTGGTGCACTATTATTAATTAATGTAATAATAATAATAATAATAATAATAATAATAAAATGCTGGATGATGGGTGACTGGTGACAATAATATTTTTCATACCACGTACATTGAATAATGTGGGTCAGGTTATTTTTATTCTATAATATGGATAAAACACAACAAGCTCGAACGCTGAACGCAAGACGAAAATATGGAAACGGAAAATGCACTGATTATGCACCGATAGTGGACCATGTCCTATAGTGTTAGTGTATTGTATGTGTCTAGCGGTGGGGGAATGCAATAGTAATGGGAGAAGTACGCCGCCGTCGCAAGAATCTCCATCACTAGTCCCGACCACATGACGTGTTTAATACTGCAGTCGGTGGCGAAAATAATATAAAATGATCACTTAAATATCCACAGTTTTTTGTTCATAACTAAAATTTTATTTAACCGATTCTGTTGAAAATTATAAAAGCTCGTAGCTTATGATTTTCTCGATCAATTGATACCTCATTCTAACGATTTGGTCCATTTTTTAGGCCTACAGTCTTTAATAAAGAATACCAAAATATTAACACGTATTAAATGGGAATGTTTAGATTTCTGTATGTATACACGGTCGAGTGCCACCTACTTTTTTTTTTTACTTGGCTCGCGACACACCGTGTCGCTGGATACGGGCCATCATATTTTTAATCACAAAAGTTTTAAGGAGTTGTGTTGGATACAGGGGCGTCTTTTGGAGAGGGACAGACTATGGCAAATGCCCCACTCTTAGAAATTTTAAAAAGTCAGCAATTCGTTGTCCGATGATCAAATGCTAAAATCGGTAAATAGTAAATTTTTATTTACTATTTTGTACTGAGAAATCAGATAATATTCTTTTTTAAATACACGTTCACGGTTTATTAGGTTAGGAAATATTGGCTTCTCCCCGGTTTATGACAATCGTTATTATGCGAACCTTATAAACTTTATTTTTGATATATTATATATTTCTATATATGGGATCTTTATAAAACAGTTTTCGTCCTTCCTATTCACCCCAAACTACGGTACATTATATTTGAGATGCAATTTTATGTTTTTATAAATAAGTTTTGTAAAGTATTAAATGTACAAATAATAAAATTATAAGTATTTATTTAATTAGATTTATATTATTATTCCATTAAGGATATTGATAGGTAACTTATAGCCTATAGGATAAGTAAATAACTTAATGTTTTACTATCTATAATGCAGGGGCGTATTTAGACTTATTTCTTGGGGAGGGGCGACTCAAATTTTTTCTTTAATTCAGGCTCAAAATGAAAAAGTAAAATTTTTGGTAATATTTAAATCAGGTGAATCCTTAATATTTGTGGTTTTTTTTTAATCTAATGCCGGGATCCACTTAGAATGAACTTTTGTGTAGTTTTTTAACACCTATTTGTGTTTTGAAACTTTCGCTTGTATTTTTTTTTTTGATTTTTTACTAAGTATGGACCAAAGCTTAAATCAAAATAATATATATTGTTTACTGTTATGGGATATTTAAACGTTTTAAGCAATTGAGCATTTAACGCTATAAATAATTTAAACGTTATTAAATTTAAGCCTTTAAACGTTTAATAAATTTTCCGTTTACCGTTTAACAATTTAGCGTTTTGTGTTATTCAAATTAGTGAAACGTTTTCAAATGTAGTATTTAGCCAACAATACTAGGTAAATAACATTATATATTTTAAATATTATACAATATATATATATATATAAATTACCTGTAACCAGTAATGTATTGGTAAATATATTTGTGGGTATACGCACTAAAAAAAATATGGATATTAATCCTAAAATAAATTTTCTTGATTCACTCGATACTTTCGAAAAAATTTAAATTAATCCTTTATAACTACATATTTATAACTTCTATTAAGACCATAAAATATAACACCACAAGATATAAATTTGTAGCGCGTTATAAATTGCATGATGCAGATTTAAGAACCATGGGCTGAAGTTCACACTCCATACTATTTTATTCAATGGTATTCACTACAGTTAACAAAATACATAAACACAGCGTACACGGTAATCTTCAACAGCTAAATATTTCAATCAATTTCACGGTTTATAAACAATTTTTTCCAATGAACTATTAAATTATTAATAGTTTTTTTTGTTTTCGAGTTATTTTAGAAGCATATACCCGTAAAATAATATTTTACATTAGGTATACGCCGAAAATCGAAAATCTGCTGATGTGAATATACCGTATACCCGCGTATACGTAACTTATAACTTATAAATGAAGCAATCATATTTGTTGTATAACAACAATACAATGCATATACCACGTAAAATATGTATTTATTGTCACCGAAATTATTTTTGATGAGGCAGGCCTACGGATTCCGCGCCGACAATATCCGACGTATTTTCAGAAAGCATATTTATAAATTATGATTGGTAATGCTTATTTATATATTATTAGTTGATACATTTATTGCTGTTTTAAACATCCTTTTTATACATATTTCATTTAGATTACCTAGTAATTTAAGTCAGTTTTACAAAAATAACTATATTCAAAATCTATTTTACTGATACTTATAAATATTTTTCCATGGCAATTTATTTTCGTCGGATCCCAAACGGCTCCCGTCTATTGTTCGCTTATTCCCAAACGGCTCCCGTCCAAAAATGTCTAACGAACAGGTAAATTCTTGAACGGCTCCAGTTTTGTACACCACAAATTCCTTCCCACTTTATACAAACTTAAGGTGCGGCCCCACTGGGAGCGATTTGCGTTTTTACGATAGCGTGTAGCGATTTTGCGTTTTAGCGATTTTAACAAAAGTATGTAACTCATATGTAGTGGCCCCACTAAGCGCGTGCCGCGTGTCGCGTGTAGCTTTAAGCCCCCCATACACGGTCAGTCTTGAATTACAATCAACGTGATTGACAGTCGAAACTAATCATTGACTGACGATTGATAACTTCCATACACAATCAATCAAGAATGACAATCGTTCAATTTTTTTGTCAGTTCAAAAGTGTACACTTTACGAATAAGTACTTATTCGTGCTGTTTTGTATTGTTTTGTGCTGTGTACATTTAATTAATTTTTTTATATACCTATATTTATTTATAGGTATTTTTATAAATATTTTTGAGTTTGTCAATTTATTAAAATGGATAAAGATGCACTTATTGGTATTGCCATTTATCTCGCGTGTGATGATGCAAAGAAACCCAAAAAGAGAAAGAAAAGATTCTGGGTTAAAGAATGGTTGACGAAAAAAAACTCATTCTCTGATCATAATTTACGACAAAAAAAGACAAAACAAGACTCGACTGCTCCACACAATTCGACTAGATCGACTGATAAATTGTACATTCATAGACATACACGGTCAATCATGAATGTCAATCATCTTGACTGATGATAAAAATTCAAACATGTTTGAATTTCATCAGTCATAAAATTTGACTGTCAGTCATTATCAGTCATATACATATACGGTCAGTCATGAATGTCAATCACGTTGATTGTCATTCAAAACTGACCGTGTATGGGGGCCTTTACACGCGCGGTAATCGCTGAAAGAACAAAATAGTTTGATATTCGGCGATTAATCGCTGTCAATATGTCTTCCGCGTCGGTTGTGTCCGAACAAATAGCTGCCGCTGTCTTCGTACAGGAAGCTATTTGGAATCTTAGACACCCGGACCACAGTAATAGGACTAAGATTCAAAAATGTTGGTCCAACATTAGAAAGGATCTTGACATGAATGGTAATTTAATTAATTAATATTATATATTTTGATATATTAGCTAATATAGTATCATAGTATAATATAGTATATTAACTAATAACTAATAAGTATACTGAGGCTCTTAACTAGAGTACAAGTATTGCATTACTTTGGGGTGACATATAATTTTAAAGAAATTAGAGCTGCAAAATTAGATAAATATTGATAACAAATGACAATAATTACTGTTATGCATCTATTGTAAGTACTTTTTATTAAACTTTTTATTAAAAAAACAGTATTTCTCAGATCGAATGTTATAAAACTGAAAAGTGTTATAAATTATAATATTATACTAATGGGAGAGTGGATACCTTCATTAATTGTCAGAATGTTCAAAGAATTATAAACAATAAATTAATAAAAATAATCTTTTAAATACCTATCAAGTAAAGCAGCACTTTCAGCCAGCAACATTTTTCTGGACGTCATCTTAGTCGAGGATCGAATAAACAAATGAAAAATACACGAACACGCGCAACTAAAAATGCAGAAACGCATGTAAAATCGCTAGAGGACATCGCGCGTGTAAAATCGCAGAAACGCTCGAAACGCAGAATCGCAGAATCGCTCCCAGTGGGGCCGTACCTTAAGAGGACGCTACACCTGTTATTATGACTAGTAAAAACATGTTTACGGAAAACCAACGAAAATGCCTTTTAATGTAACTTTAGGGTGAAAACACCTATTATACAATTAGTAAAGAATAATATTTCTGAGTGAACCTCATACGCGTTTTTAAAAATATTTATTAAAAAAAAAAAGTTACAATGATTTAAAAAAAGTAAAAAATTGCTTTATTGTATTTATCATACAGAACTATTCATTCGGAATAATGAAAAACCCTTATGAGGTTCACTCTGAAATGTTATTGTCTTCAAATAAAGTAATAGGTGAAATAATTTTCAAATCACTTTTAGAGGCCTTTTTGTTAGTTTTCCTAATAACACCTAATAACGCTTCCTATCGGTCGTTTTATCCGTTTCGCTTTGGGTATAGCGTCCTCTTAAAGGTCTATTTACACACAGCAGTGACGTGACAGTGCCGTGGCCGTTCCGGGATTCCCCCGGCAAAATTAATAATATTCTTAAAGGAAAGATAAGCATGATGTTCTCACTCGTCCGGCGCGTGACCGTACCGACGAAAACAGTGTTGTCGCCTTCATCGTACCGTGAATTTGCGATTACTTGCCGACGATATTTTTCATATTTCACGGCAGTGATTTTTGTTGTAATTCATTGACTCTCAATTTTTATAAAAATGAAGAATACTCTCGAAACTGTACAACAGAAGAAGTTGATAATCCTGTAATTGTAGAGTCACAAAATAGTTGTCCTTTGCCAAGTTTAAAACAATCAGGTTTCTCTCAATGCGCACACACTACTCAATGACGGATGAATCACTGACCAATGTGAATAGAAATCACGGCCGGTAGAATCCCGGAACGGGTACGGCACGATTACGGCACTGTCACGTCACTGCTGTGTGTTAATAGACCTTTAAGGTACGATTTGGTTAGAGTGACCGCGACCGCGACCGTGTATCACTGCGTCAATGTTATTATATGTACCTTAATTGTGCTTAACAATATTTTTATTTATACATTTTTACATTTTTTAAATATTTTTTTAACGTTAAAAATTTAAAATTTAATATTATACTATATGCTTTTTTTATATAATTTTAATAATTTACATAGTGTACACAGACATTTTTAACCACACCTCTTTTGAGACAGTCCTAAGTCTGTGTAAAATGGGAAGGAATTTGTGGTGTACAAAACCGGAGCCGTTTAGGAATTTATCTGTTCGTTAGACCTTTTTGGACGAGAGCCGTTTGGGAATTGACCTTTTTGTAAAACGGGAGCCGAATGGGCTACGACCTTTATTTTATGTTTCAATCGTTTTTATTTTTCTGTTATGTTATTCGATATTAATTTTAATCGTTTTTCGTTTCTGTTTCGTTATCTGTAATCGATTTCAATCGTTTTTTGAGTAGTTTAACATTATACTTATAACAACGTTTTAGTGCCCTAGTAGAGATGGAAAGTTTAGTTTATTACTATGAATAGTTCATTAATTCACAATTCATTTAAGTGAATAGTTCAAATGAACTATTCATAAGTTCACGTGGTTCACTAATTTTATTGATCATACTGATATTGTTTGGCAATGAACTATTCGTTTTATCACTATTAGTACAGCAGTACACAGTTCAGTAATAGTTCACACTACTCAAGGGCAATTAAATATTTGTTATCTAATTGTAAACAGCTGATTACCATTTACAGGATTTCGAACAATGAACCTCAGAGAATTTTTAAAGAAGTTCGCGAACTACGAGATTTCATTTATACAATGCTACTAAATGTTTTTGAATTGTGAACTGTTAAATTACAGGTACTAAAACAGTTCAGAATAGTTCATCAAATTGAATAGTTCAAATAAACTATTCTTTCACAAACTTAACATTTCTATGCCCTAGTATGGACACTAAGTATCTTTATAAAATGATCCACATTAAAAAAACTAGAAATCATTATCTTACAAATGATCGATTACTTAAATACGGATTTAGGGGGGGAGGGGGTTGCCCACTTCGTCTCCCCTAAAATACACTCCTGCTTTAATGTTATTATTTCATTGGGTAAATTGAAATTTTTCATGTTATTTATCATCATGACATCATTATTCATTACTAATCCTTACATGTATTTTCCGAAAAAATATTTTATTGTTAGTCTATCGTCCATAAATATTAAATATTTAAATATATAGGCAACCATAATTTTTCAAATATAATGAAGTCGACAAATTTAATCAGTTGCCCCACCCTTTCAAAAGTTGAAATGATACCTCTGGTTGTATGGGAATAACCGAATTGGTTCCCATTTGAAAAAGGTATTTCATTAGGTATAGCCGAATTGGTTCCCGTTTGTGTACAAGTAAAAAAGACAATTTTAATTTTTAACACAATTTACCTACACTATTAAAAATTAAAATCCAGTGGGCCAGTGCATAGAGAGCAAAAAAACAAAATTTTAAAAGCTATATGTATGACATATAGACAATTATTATATCGATAAGATAGAGTATAGACTATAGATTACTAGAGACTAGCAACTTTCTAGCAAACAGGAAAAAAAAACAAATACTTGGACAATTGTATGACCTAGTACATTAATGAAAAGCTTACGAGAATTGAATATTTAAAGAAAGTTAACTTCAAATTTTCAAATCAGTGATTTTTAAATTATATTTATTAAATTTTTTTTTTTTGTATTTCGTACACCTAAGTGATGATTAGTCAACCTCTAAATCAACGATTTAAAATTATATGTTCTATCATTTTTTTTTAACACACATTCATGCACAATGTTAACCAAGTCTACTTTAAAATTGATAGTCCTAAAAGCCTGTAAAATTGAGAAGGAAAATGTGCGTAATTAAACGGAAACTAATTCGGTTATATCTAATAAAATACCTTTTTTAGACGGGAACCAATTCGGCACGTGGGGATGGAGCTCGGGAACCAATTCAATACCAGCCGGTTGTATATAACAAATAGATACATAAGATCGCATTATCATTTTCTTTTTAGATCGGTTAAAATTTGTAAAGTTAATGTAAAGTTAAAATTTTGAATAATTTTCCAAAATATGCACTTTTCTGCAAATTCTATGAAATATGCAAAAATATGTACATTCAAATTTTAGATTTGGTATCACAGCATTGAGAAATAAATTTATTTCGAACTCTGCTATATTTTACAATAAATAAAAAAAGTATGCAAATGCTATAAGTCCCGAACCCTGGTTATAATAATTATAAATTATTATATTCAAATTATGGGCTCAGTACAGAAAATAAATAATACTTAGTATAAAGGATGACATAAAAGCACGTGAGCAATTAATAATAACCATTGGTTATATAATAGACTACTGTCATTTTGCTCCTATAAATAGAATGCTTACTTCAGGTAATAAATTAAAACGGTTTGATTTCTTCAATGATACCTCCAACCAGGTTAAAGTCTTTGGTTTAAAATCTTTACTCATTAATTTTATTACTTATTATTAATAGCTATAATAATACTTATTAGAGAGTTTAAACAAAAGACTTCAACCTGGTTGAGATATCATTGAAGAAATCGAACTGTTTTAATTTATTACCTGAAGTAAGCATTCTATTTATAGGAGCAAAATGAAATAGTTTTATCTAAAAGTGTCTGTGTAGTAAGTATGTGCTAAACGAGTATTAACATGAGATACATAGAGGTATTTGACATAATGACTCAGGGCAATCAATTTGGGAATTAAGAAATTTGTGTAGCCAAAGTAAATCATTATATAATCTTCTCTTTTCAAGTGACTCAATATTAAAATCAGTAGCTGAAACTATTCAAGAGCAGTGCCGCAAAAACCGGGTGTGCAGAGTGTGCCGCACACTTCGCACTTTGCACACGGGCCCCAGGCTTACATACATTTGGGGGGCCCCCTAGTCCCAGCCTAAAATAAATTACACTTTACAAATACATAATTATTTAATAATATTATATTATTATTTTATAATAAAAAGAAACTTTTTTTAAAATTCCGGTAAGAATGTTATAATATTTTAGAGTAATTTAATATTTATTTAACAATGAGTCCATTAAGTATTTGAGTAGACATACAACATACCTACCTAAACTATTTAAATAAATTTATTACATAAATATGTAGTGAAGTATAATATACAACAGTTGTAGGTATTTAATTTGATATATATTTACATATATCATACACTAACTGATGTGAAACGTGTTTTAAAACCTAAAAAAATTGATACTTATAAATAAGACGTACAACAATAATTAATCCTAAGAAGGGGCCTATTGTAATTACCGCACACGGGCCAATTTTGTAGTTGCGGCACTGTTCAAGAGAGATACCTATTTTGTGGATTTTGAATACGTTCTATTTTAACTATCAAGGTAGATTGATGTGGGTTCCAAATTATAGACCCATAATCCAGTGTAGAACGAACCAAAGAAAAATAAAGCGTTTTTAAACAATTTAGATTTTTAAATTCCGAGCAATTTCAATGTATAAAACCGAAGGTACGAGAGCTTTGTTACACATTGCATTTATATGACTGTTAAAAGATAAGTCATTTGATAAAATAATACCTAAATCTTTAATTTGTGTTACTACAGGTATATCCGATTCACTTATACTATAATGATATTTTATACTTGATTTCTGACGAGAAAAGGTGATTTGTGCAAATTTGTACAAATTTTACACAAATTTACTGTACTTGAAGATATAATTAACATAATAAATAAATATTAAGAAAATTAATGGGGATATATGTCCCTTTTAAGGGACTTCAGAAGTAACATTTATGACCGATGAACAAAAATTACCTAATTTAACCTGTTGCGTTCTATCATTCAAATAAGATTTAAACCAATTTAATATAGGATCAGAAATACCATTATATTCTAGTTTTTTAAGTAGGATAGATATATCAACACTATTGAAAGCTTTTCTAATATCCATATATTGCGTCAACTTCGACACCTTTACCGACCAGCAATACAATTTTTGTATAATAAACCAATGCATTTGTTAGTGTCGATTTAGAGTAACAAAATCTATGTCATTTATCAGAAATTGAATTAAAAAACATTGCTATCATTTTAGGTGTCATAATTTTTTTTAATATTATAGGTACCTAGAGCACTTAGACGTGAGATAGAACGATCATTCTTAATCAAAGTTTGCCCGATTGAGTCGGTTACCCGACTTGAATACGGGATAAATAAAGGTTTTTTTCCATTTGTCTGAGTAACAACCGGTTGATTGTTTCTATATATTACCAAAATATAGCCTTCTTATAGCTACCCTGATCCATGCACTCTACGTAAGCCAGAGCAAAACTTAACTAACTAAAATATTGTCACTTTAGTTATATTTAAACATGTCAAAACTCATAAAGCCACTTCCTCCTTCACATTCAGTGAGTATTATTGAATTATTATATAAAAACGATTTTGAAGTAATTTGAACAGTCACTTAAAATGCGGGAACGGGAGACATTTTTAAAAATATTATGTAACATCTTTGGGTCACATGTTCAACGATGAATTGTTAGGTGATCATTCTTTTCATAAAAACCATTGTGCCCATATAAAAATGTTGCTGGACTGTATTTTGAATTGCAGTGATGTAAATAATAAACATTCAACGTTTTGTCGTTTGACGACTAAATTTTTTGTTTTAACCGTTGTCTATTGTCCATAATCTTTGTATTTCTAAATTCTTAGTAAGTATTTTACGTGTTTTAGTTTTTTATGATGTATCTAGGTAATGAAAGTTTAAATTAAAAAATAAAATCGTCATTTTATAGAATCATATAATTAAAACCTAAATCTTGTTTTCAGTGTCGAACTATTACTTAATGGGCTCCGGATTTCTTCAGAAGGGTCCCCAAAACTGTCATCTCATATAATGATAAAAATGTGCTAAGTGCAACATAGTGGAAAATATAATTCTTTAATGATACCATATTTAAAATAAACAAACAATTAAGTTAACTACATTGTTAGCACAATTATTTATAATACTATAATATTATATAAATATTATAATATGTACCTTATAATAAACAACTTAATTATTTTTTAATAATATACAGATTGTACAATTGATTTTTTTTTTATAAAAGTAATTTTTTTTAGTTCACTAATGGTTACTAATTAGTTCACTAATAATAATTAAATCTATAAAAAACTTGAACTTAAAAAATATCAATTACAACGATTACTTTGATAATTTGTAAATCTTTTGAAATGGGAGCCCTTCGACACAAATTCGGCTTAGAGCCCGGATGCATTTGCAGCCTAACGTTCATGGCCAGGTCGACACTGCTTATTTTATACTCAAAAGTCTAGTGAATAGTTAAATGTATACACAGATAATATATATACATTGGTTTAAATTAGAAAATATTTTGTTAAAAAATTTTGGTTAACATAAGCCTGATTTTTTAGATTAAGTGTAATTTTTATTTTTATTTTTTTTGTCCTAGGTGCACTAATATTAAATAATATATATTAATAGTATATATCTATACCTGTATTGATACTTATGTAGATTTGCTTATTTACATTTTTACAAAACTTAAATTTAAAAACCATTAAATAAATACATTAAAGATTAAAATTAGGTTTTATTCTATTTCAATATTTTATAATAAAATTTTTTACTTTACTCATTATTCAAAGTTAAATCTACTGCACGTATTGCCAAGGAATAAAATTAAAATTAATTATTGTAATTATTAATAATTATATATTATAATACTAGTTGTTAATGTGATTATTATTGGTTATTGATTTATTATGTTTATAAAATAAAATTAGAAATGATTTACCTTATAGACAACATGGAACAAATAGTCAAGATTTTTGTGCAACATAGCTACTTCATTGAAAATGATTTAATAGTTGATTATAATGTGGAACAAGGAGTAATTATAACATTACATCATTTTTATATTATTTATAATAACAAATATTATTTTTAGGCCCATGTAAATATATCACAAAAAGATTGGATAGCATTAATACCTAAAGGATGGTCTGGAGTAGATGAACAAGTTGCTTTTAAAACTGTTGATATTAGTAGTGATATAGTAAATTTACCAATTAAATCAATTGTTATGGAGAAAAAATGTTTTCAAGATGTAGTAGAGTGTGATAAATACTACCAACTCATGTATGTCAGCCAGTATTTAGAGGTGAGATTATGATATTATTATTCTTGCATCAGATGTATACATTAATTTATTGACAAAGATTTTAGGCAAAAGTGAATACTTTGTGTTCCTTCACCATACCAGTATTTGCAACTGTGCTTCCTCTATAAAAACTAAAAGTAAAGGTAATTCAAGGCCAAATCGAAATTCTGTAAGTATATACATGCAAATTATAACTCTATAAATAAACTTAAAATTCAAATGTTTTATACACCAAACAATTTATTTAATAAGGACATTATAATTATTTAAGGTTAATAAAATATAACTAAATTGATAGTATAATATTTTTAACATGATTAAATTATTATGATGTATTTAATATTATAATAAACAAATTACATTCAAATACTTGGAAGATATTCATAACAATTATTATTATTAAATTAAATTGAAAAAAAATTTTAATTTACTGCATTTTCAAATAAATCTAAAATGTGTTTTATATCTTTAACCTGTTGAGCTAATTTATAGATTGGTTTCATTTCTTTAGAAAGTTCTTCACATTTAGCCATTAATTGATACATTGATTTAATATTAGCATCAATAGAGTCACATGTTTTACAAACAACATCTCTGTATATTTCTAAATATTCAACAGTTAATGCAGACATACTATGTAATACTCCTGAAAGAGTTTCAGTTAATGTGTCTACAGAAGCAGCAATGTTTCTGGCTTCAAACTCAAGTTCGTTTAGTAAATTTGCATCTAAAACAAATCTTCCTAATGGTCTGACAGGTGTTGTTGGACTGGTCTGTTTAAGTTTACTTTCTAAGTCTTCTGCAACAAATGTTACCATGTCTCCATTTTTAGTAATTATACCTTCAAGATTGTTTAAAAAATCCATTTAATTAGATTCTTCCACGTATCAATATTAATTCTGAAATAAAAAAATTAAACTTATGATACATATTTTATTTAACTTATAAATATATTTAAATTTTTTAAAATAATTTAAAGATTATCAATGAATAACTAACTGCAAGAACTTATTTCATTTACTAAAAAAACAAATAATATATGTAAGTGTTTCCCAAAAGGCGTGCCATAAAAATTAGAAACGTTTTGTTTTACGTTTGTAATAATTTTTGGCAAGTAAATATAATTTATCCAAAGTGTCCTCTGGAACTAATAATATTAGCTAACAATGGAAAAAATTTCAAAACTTGCTACTCTATGTAACATAAATAAAAACAAAAGTTTTATTAATTATATTCTAAAATTGATTAGATTTGTTAACTTTTAAAGCTACTTAATTAAAATCAGTGTTATAAAGAGGGGTATAGAGTGTATATTAACTTTGAATTTTGAAGTATGTATTGGTTAAACATATAAAAAGAAAAATAATTAAATATGTATATTTGAATAATGTCTTTAAGTATAAGTTCACTTCAATATAAAAACATGGATAATATGTAATAATAAGGAATATTTTATTCTAATTTTAATTTATTATAATTAACATTACTTCTCTGGTTTTCATTTTATTTTTTATCTACTTTGTTTATTTTCATCCCTCATGTTGAATGTTCTTAAAATGGGCATGTATAACATCATTTATTTACAAATATATTTTTGTGTTTTTGGAAAATTGGTTTTTATATAAATATAACAGATTATAAGTAGGTACTCGTAATTCATATTATATTATCATACAGTAATTGAAATGTCAAAACTTAAATAACGTGTGTAAAATGATGTTTTTTTCAGATTAAAAAAAATACAAGTCTATGATATCTAGCTTTGTGTACAACTTTTTTTTTTAGATTTATACTAAGACTTTACTAAATATACTTATAATATATTTTTTTAATACATTTAAAGTTATTTTATAATGCATTTTTTTGAGTTTTTTCATCTTTTAACTTTTTATCATAATTTATATAATTTTATTTAACTAAAATTTTTATTTTTATTAATTTTAGTGCATTTTTTAAGTGCCTTTTTCGGGTATTTTTAGGGCATCCCACCCCTAATTATAATAAAAATACTATTGGTTCCATTTATTTGTATGAGTTGATGAATCATCTCTCATGTATGACTCCAGGTGTATAGAACTTTTATATTGACTACTTCATTAACTACATCAAAATAAATATGGTTTCTCAATAATTCAATCATGTGTTTATTCTATAATACTATTTTTTCAGACAGTCTTTAGTAAACCTATACGCAGACAATCTCCAACACCACATGATTTTTACAAAAATCAACAACAAAATAATGCAGCAAACAGTGAAAAATCAAAATCAAAACAGTGGTTAGCAAATAAATGTATTAAATGTAATGCACCAAACAATTTTGCAGCAGTTGAAAGTGCACTACATGCAAAAGTAATACTTATCATTTAAGTTTAAACAAATTAATATACTATTTATTGATTAATTAGATTCAAGATTTAACAATAAGTAATGAAATTAAGAAGCAAAGTTTATTGACTTTAGAAGATGATTTAACTCAAACATTGGAATTAATTAACAAACAATTCAAATTACATAAAAATATTTCCCAAGAAAAAAATAATATTGAACAATTTATTGATGATATAGTTGATGGCTTATTGAATGATGGCAAGATAACATTTTGGGCTCATGATCAAGAAGTGAAATATAATTATTTGCCATTATTATACTAATATTACTATTTTTTATTATATTCTTATAATCTGTATATTTTCTTGATTTAGTTTTCAGTTATAAGAGAATACCCGGATAAAATTAAAACATCATTGCTATCAGATGATTTTACTACATTTGTCAATAATGAATCTTTAAATTCTTCTAAAGAAGTACAAATGAAAGCAATTATCGGTCAACAAGAAAAAACTATTCAACATCTTATGCATAAAATAAAGGATATGTTGGGTACTTTTCTTAAGGTATAAATATAAAAATATTAAATTTATTTATAAATAATAATTAATTCTATTATTTTAGGAAAATGAACAGTTAACAAAAAAAAACAACAACATTTCACCTCTTTCAGAAAATAACATTGGTAATATGGGTTACATGGATAGATCAGGAACAACATATTTTTCTCCTTCACCAAATATTAATGATACATTAAATAGCATAAATGTATGTTTATCTAAATCAATTAAAAATAATATTTTAAAGTTGCCAGAAAAAAATGTTTTTGAAAAAGAATTGTCTGATATTCCAGTAAGCAATATAAACTTTTTGAAATATACTAAATACTTAATTATTTAATTTAAATTCAAAATTTTTATCTTTTTTTTCATAATTTATAATTTATTAAAATGAATATTAATTTATATATATAACCATAAATATGTGTAATTCTCAAATTAAAATAGGTATTATACCATCAACTACAAAATATCATATATATACAACCTTCATTCATATTCTTAATTGTACTATTTTTTTTATTTTTATAGACGCTTAATAACAACTAAAAAAATAAAAAACCAATTAAATAGTTTTAGTTTTTTAGTGATTGATTTTATAGTTTATGACTATATCTAGTAAAACTATTTACTGTGAAAATAATTGTAGGAATCTAAAGAACATTTATTAAATAAAGATGACAAAAACCAAATGTTAACTTTTGAAGATCAAAAAAAAGAGAAATCCGATTGTACTAAATCAACTAAAAGTGGTTTCAATAAAAAAAAAAATGGATTAAGCACTATTGAACTAAACAAAAATAATGATTTAGAATAATGTGGTGATTCTCTTTGGGTAAGTTCATTAAGGTTAAAGTATTTAATTTATATTTATATATTTTGTATATTTTTATAATTATGAACATGATTGTATCTCTTGTTTATGTAAAAATATACCTTATTTCAATATATATTAACTTAACTCAATTGATCTATGGTGTATTAAATTTTTTTCATATTAGGATATAAATTTAATATTTAATCTTTTGAAAAAAAAGTTGATACAATCATACATTATTATTGAACTATATTTGTGTATTAATACAATTTGAACGTATATTAAATTTGTAAAAGTTGCTGTTAGAAATAATAACTACCATTGTAATGGTTATCGGAGGAAATTTTATTTGGAAATAAATATTAATATATATTGGATGATGGTTGAATCTACTCCTAATTTCTAAATATGTTACTAGACACTGATATGCATAAATTGTATTATAATTAATATATTATATGATCTATATTACCGAAACATATATATATATACTGCTATTATAGAAATTAAATATGTAATTGTGAAAAATATTCATAGCTTTCATTAAAGTCCATTTTGCTAATTTACTTAAACACCTAGATTAAACAAAATATAATAAATAATAGTTCTACATAGTTGTGAATTTGTAGTATTATGCTACTGTGCTAGTAGTTAGTAAGTTAAGCCTTAGTAATTCATCATCATCAACAATGAATTTTATAATTACATATTTAAATAATTTCTTATTCATACTATACTGGGGACATCGGAGATTTATATCTGTACTTTTAAAAAACACAAATTTATAATGAAATTTTATATTTCTTAGATTAAAAGTTAGTATCTCTTTTTAAACGTTTTACTTATTGCAGATTACATATTTGACACCAATTAATAGCATATTTGGATTTTGAGGTTTTGTCCAGGATATTAAATTTTGCTTATTATATGTAATTAAATATTGATGTATTAATGTTTAAAACATACATTATTTCTTTTAGATGTTTCCTGTAATCAACATATTATGATTTTGTATGACATAACTGAAGTTTTGTTATATTCTTGAAGATTCTTTATACCTTTTTGTTTCTTATCATTATTTTGTTTATTTTTTAATCTAAAATTTTAATTTTTGTAGTATGTATTCCATAAATAAATATTTGTTACCTATTTGAATGACTTATTATTAAAATGAATTTTCCTTATTTACCTAGTTCTCAAAAATAATTAATATTTTTTTTAAAAAAATGTTTTGACTTTTTATCTAATATTTAAGTTTTTAATTGATGATTTCACAAAATAGTATGTTTTTTAGTTTGGAATTCAGGGTAAGTATTTTACCAACGCCAAAATAATTTTTAAATAAACATAAACTAAATTAATTAACATATTTTAAATATGATTGTAACATAGGTTATATGATTTTGTATAACTGTGGTTATAATATTAAATAAATTTCAGAGTAAGGGTTTCAATAATTGTTACTTCTTTTAAATTTGAATAACTTAAATTGTATTTAGTTTTCTTAATTCGATTTTGGGGCAAATATTTATAACCTTCTTCAGATTTGTCCATGATTTAAGTATAATTTTCATTAATGTAATAAAAAATACTAATTGAGTATTTATAATTTATAATCATAATATTTATGATAATCAATTGATTATTAAAAGTCAATAAAATGAGCCACATTTTATTTCCCTCTTAGTATATAGATGTATCATGTGGAATAAATAACATTTTTGTTAGTATCTGATAAATTTGAATCGCATAGAAATCTTACACATCAATAATTTTCTAATAAAGATTTCACAAAAGTATTACAATATCTCTTGAGACAGTCAAATTTGTAATACAAAGGTTATGTATGACTCACAGGTTTAAAGATAAAAAATATTAATTTTTTATGTACTTGTATACAAATTCAAAAAATAACTTTTTTGAAAAATTTGTAGACAACCATTTATAAACAAATGTATTCTTCTGAGCATTTTATTTTCATAAGACTCATTTATTTTAATTTTTATTTTTAGTTTTTCTGATAATTTTAAGACTTCCAAAAAAATTTGTAAATAGTATTGCCACTGAAAAATTGCTATCTCAAAAATGTTTCCGATCACTATGCACTTTGGAATCGAAGTTAATAATGAAGATTATAGGTGAAAACATAATATCTTATTTGTTTTTAAAAATTTTGAAATTGGTAATGACGTGGGTAAAGAATTGGACCGATCCTAAAGTTCATAAGTCAACCACCCTATATAGATAAACATATTTCGGCGCCCATGGTGGTATTTATTTACAAGCAGTAAATTAGGTATTTATTTTGTATAACTTTCAATTATCTATGTTTGTTTTTGTATTATTTTTTTAAATTACATAGTGTAAAATCATCCGACATTAAATTGGCACAATATTGTCGAAACATAAACTATTTGTTTACTTGTTGAATAGAATAACTATTTTTTCTACAAAAATAACTATTGGACGTATGCCTTTATATTGTTATAGTCAAAACTTTAATATGTATGTATAAAACAAGATATTGAATACATTCATCAACGTCCAGATCAAACCACTCGACCTAGAGTTATTTTGGTGATATATTTTTATTATTCTGTAGGAGTAAATAAGAAAAGATAATTGTCAAACAAAGTTTCAATAAAGAAAAAAAAAAGAATAAGAAAAGACCCTAATCTATCTCTAAAGGGCAAAAGAGGTTAAAACAAAATTATTTGAGTAAACATATAACAAATAAAATAATAAGCTGATCTCGAGACTAAGCACTTAAAAACATGACTATTAACTATACCACTTAAGCATGAGTAGAAAAAATTGTTTTTAGTTGACAAAAACAAAAATCACCAACGAAGACTAACACATTTTTTCTCTTTTGGTGTGCGATAGACATACTAAAAGTACCTACATACGCACTATGCGACCGCAACGATCCAAACGACCAGAACGGTTTGCGGGCAACCGTAACGTAGTGCACATACAATTTTTTGGATACCTATACAGAATTTGTTTACAGTTTATCACTTGCGGTCAACTGGACGACTAGCCACATAGGTTAGTGCCTCTATACGTCTTACGAAATTTAAATAATAATAAAAATTGTTGCTAACGCCCGAGTGCCTGACTGTTGTTGCCGGTTGTTCCTTAATGAAAAGTAATTTCCTAGTTTGTGATCGCTTGTTCACCAAATTAAAAATAAAATAAGATAAAATAATAACAAAATTGATACATATGAGAACTCTATTTATAATTATTTTGTATAAACAATGTAAACGATGGCGACCGGTTAATCGATGTGTGCTTTTCTTATCGGTTACAGACAAAATACAAATAGTTGTCAACAACTTATAATAATTTACAAAGTTTAATGCATTACCATAATATAATTATTTTTACTTTGCAAGAACTCATAATACTTGATACGTTAAAATTTAACTTTAATATCAATAAAAAAATATAATTTATTGATATTCTTAGTTCACGTTTTTGTATTATGATTTTACTATTGAGTGTATTTAATGGAGGCAAACGTGAGGCCTGGATAATATTCTCAAAGTGCGAGACCCTGAACAAATGTCCCATTTGCTCTACCCTACCCTAACGCCGTCTCTGAGTATGCATTAATAACGTTAATATACGCATTAAAAATCAAAAATCATGCATTGAAAAATAAAAATTACAAGAAAATTTTACCTTACATTTCGAATTGTTAAAATAATAGATACAAATTAGCAATTAATTTTTCTATCGATTACATTTTTATTTTAATCAATAGTATTATATTCAACATAAAAAAAAAAAAAAACATGAAATTCGGAGGGTATTTAACTCATAAATATTATCAAAGGTAAAGATGTACAATTATAATTAATATAAATTCGTTATGGTCAAGACCGGTGGTGTATAGAGCGTGTACACGGCATATAACGACTTCTCTATTTTTTGTACCTATATACTTATTATATAATTTGTGATACTCAAGTGTACTAGCTATACTTTCAACTGTATAGATATATATATAGTATTATAACAGTATTATATTAATAAAATGTTGACTTTTTTAAGGAACTTTAAGGATTTTTAGGAATTAACCCTATTCACTCTTTTTACTTACAATTGATGTAAGTATACTCAAGATTGTATGATAGATTTATTTTTGATTCCATACGATCTCAAATATATTATAATATAATTGCATCATACATTTAAATATCTGATTTAAACTCACTGGACTCAACGGTGCATACGTACTGCGTCCCCAAATCTCTTTTCGATATGACTTGCATCTCGGGTTTTTTAAATGACTACACGAATTGTGCGCCAAAGTAAAAATATTAATTTCCTTCATATTTTATACGGATAAATAGAACTGTCAATAGCAAATTATTACTAACGGTAAGTTAAAATATTGTTTCTTGTCGTTGTTATGCAATTAGAAATATGTAAATTAAATTATATTAAATTACAATTGTAACTACATTAAAAAATGAAAAAATTATAAGATTTAATTAATATTTAAAAAATAATAGGACCAATAAAAATTTGAAAAATACCTTTTCAATAAAATCAAGACAAGTTAATTTATCATGTAGTCGTTTAGATAAAGTCGGACGCATTCGCGTGATCGATAAAAAAAATCCGGGGTGCAATTCATTTACCCGGTCCGGTTTTAGCTCTTTCAGCGCCTAGTGCAAGAATTATTTTGGCACCCCTCCCTCTTAAACGACCTAAACATTTAACCTTAACAAATATAATTTGGGGAGCTGGAGAGGCCTATTCATAATTAAAAATGCTCAAAATAATTTTTCAAATTACCATACTTGCCACTTATTTATAAATTGTACAGTAAAAATAAGCCACTTTTTGCATGTTGATATAATAATAATAATAATAATAATGATGATACAATTAATTTATATTAAATCACATTGAGAAAATTATTATCCTTTTTGCCTATAGTAGATAATTTGCGTCACCAACATTTCATCAAATTTATTTATAATTTGAACACCTTTCACGCGCCTGATTTTAGCGCCCTGTGCCGTCACACGCGTCTATTGTATTTAAAGCCGGCCCTGCAGGTATGGTTTTTTTATTTTCGGAAACAATTCGTGTTAAGCTAAGTATCATATTTTATAGATATATATAATCAGGGCCGCATTTAGGGGAGGGGGTACTGGTTACAACTGTCCCGGGAGCCAGTTTTTTGTGGTCGGAAATTTGCCCACTTGTGAATTATCGAACTTTTAGAATTATTTTGAAATAATAATTCTTTTTGTTTTTAATAACAGTATCATAAATTAATGTTAATGTATTTAATTTATTAATATATATTATTAATGTATTTTTAGCAATAAAGCTATCAGCGATCGAGAATATTATTAATATACCTAATATTAATTCCCAAATTTGTTGTTATCATGTGTGGAGTGCGGTGGCGTGCCTACTATACAAAAATAGCATTGATTTTAGAATATCTAAAAGGTTCATGAGGATTTATCTCCTATATTTTCCGTGGGTAGACCTCTTGGAGGAGCGCCAATTTTTTTTTTTTTTTTGCGCTGGGGTGCAAAATGTCTAAATACAGCACTGTATATAATATATATATATATAATACTACTATTTAGCTATAAACAGTTTTTTGTTTTTTTTTTTACTTTTAAATATTTTTGTGCAGCCGAATGTAAATATCTAAATAGAAAATAAGTATTCTATATTAGGTATAAAAAGTAATATTTATATCAATTTTTTGCGATATTTGATTAAATGATTTAATATGAATAAACTGGTATTATGGCGAACGTGACGTAATACAGGTTTTAATTGAATTTCTTGTATAACAGTTTTATAAATCACAAATACTTACAATATAGTTAACAAATAACAATAGTTCATCCAAAATCTGTAACCAATTGGGAGTTATCGATATCCTTGAATATGACCGTCCTTTAACACGGTAAAAAAGAAACACAAAATGATCAAGTTCATTCAGTATAGTTACCATGAACATAAAAATCAAGAAACCTCATTTATTCAAGTAAAATTATTATATTAATACTACTATATAAAAATAAATACTAATCGGCATTCTATTGTTTTGGTTAGTTTAGGCTCCAATACAATTTGTTCAGTTTTATTTTAGATTATGAGTGAAACAAGGTAGTTATTGGTTTAACCATGACGTATGTTTTTTTTTATTGTTTGTACCTTTACAATATTTTGACCAGAAGGATTGCTTCGATAATCACAACCATGGGAGCTTCCTGATGAATAATATTATCTAGTTGGCATTTTCGGGAAGGGAAGTAATTATATGAAATGTACAATAGTTTTTTTTAATAATTGCAAAAAATAAACGAAAAGAAAAAGTTAAAAAAAAATTTAAAATATATATATATATATATGGCAAGGTGTTTTTCGACAAAATCACTTATTTTTTCAGTACATATAAAAAAAAACAATTTAAATTCTCACTGAATACTGACTCTCACTGAATACACTGAATACTGACTCTCCACTATAGAATAGTTTTAAAAATATTTTGAATATTTTAAGCTTTAATTTTCGCAATATATCGATAAAATTATAGTGGTTACAGAGTATTGAAAAATAAATACTAAGTTTCTCATCCATATTACTGATAGGTTGATTAAAAAAAAAAGTATAATAAAAAAATAGTATATCAAAAAATGATATGAGAATTTCATTATTCAATTTTAACGAAATCGGGTACTAGGGGCGTAATTACGGGGGGGTATGGGAGATAGACCCCCCATGAGCTGTATTTATATATTGTCTTAAACCTACAAATAGCTCAAATACGAACTTTTAAATTATTAGGAAACTAAAAAAAAAAAAATCCAGTTATAAATATTTATCCGTAAAAGTTTATGTTTTCTTTAATACACCAAATTGTCAAAATGTTCTTTTAACCAACATTGAAAATAGTAATAAGGATCCTAAGGTTAAAACTTTAAAAAGATTGTGTGCTACACGATGGGTGCAGCATTATGATGCGGTAACAGATTTCAATGAACTATTTGCATTCGTAGTTGAATCATAGGTACAGAAAATATTTCTAATTGGAATGATTCCACTGCAACGTAAGCTAATATACTATTAAAAACTATTGATTCAGAATTTCTTGTATTCTTACAAGTTATACAAGTAAATAGTAATTAATAAATATAATTTATTTTATTTTAAAATAAAATATTTTTTCAATGGGTTTTTTTTTTTTTTTGGATTACCATTGTGTAAGTTGCTATAAAAAGAAAAAATTGATTTAAGAGAAGCAGTAAGCCTTGCTGAAGATATTATCATTGTATTAAAAAATATCAGACTAAATTGAAATACTGAATTTCATAAGCATTGCCCCCACAAGTTTGCCATACAAATTTATTTTGATCCCCCCCATGAAACATTCTCAACTACGCCACTGTCGGGTACTTCAACGTGGTTATATCTTTATTAATTATTTAGTTATTTGGTTATTATTCTGTAAATAATGATTTTGATGACGCGAATTATTAACTTAATTCTTATAATAGAATTTATATTCAATTCCTAATTTTCAAAATTATTTTAACGATATTTATGCTGCTTATAAGCAAAAATTTTCAAATTTTCGGAATTTGTATTAAGTAGCAACCAGTAGTTTGATAACATGGGGATAGTAAAAATCGAGTACTCTAATTTAAAATTGGTATTTATATTAATATTATCTAAAACTATTCAATGATTACAAAATAATATTATGATAATAACAAAGAATATTTAATAAAATAAAAAATAAAAATTAGTAAATGGTTAAACTGGTAACTGAATATATAAATAAACAGTCTATACATAGAAATAAATAAATAAAGAATATTTTGTGAATTCATCACAGATAACTAAAAAAAAACCATGTAATTTACGGCCAATGTTGAATGTAATGAATTGGGTTTTTGTCGGGTCTATAATCAGAGAAAAATCAAATAAAACACAAGCGTAATTTTCAAAACACAGACAGGTGTTAAAAAAGCTGTATAAAATTCGATTGTAAGTGAATCCGGCATTAGGTTAAAAAAAAACCACAAATATTAAGGATTCGTTTGTTTTAAATATAACCAAAAGTTTTACTTGTTAATGTTGAGCCTGAATTAAAGAAAAAATTTGAGTCGCTCCCCTCAAGAAGTAAGTCTAAATACGCCCTCTTAACTAGTGTGGCCTGCCATAGGCGGCTGGCTATTTTACTACCGCAATGGACCGGGGAGATAAAGGAGCAATCGCCTCCGGGTCCTCAATAGTTTCATATTTATAAAAATTAACCTTATATTTAATTTTAATGTTTCTGTTTTTAATTGTATATTTGTATAAAACATTATAAAAAAAAAGTATAAAAAAGATTAATTGAGTATTATTAACTAAAAGTGTTTATAATTAAAAAAGTGACAACAATAGGTTCAGTTGATTAACCTCCGGATCCCTCGGTACCCAGTCTGCCACTGTAAATAAATAATAAATATTTAATTATGATTTAAAAAATCTATATTCTATATATTTTATGGGTCCTACACGTCAGTTTACTTATAAATGTTGATGAAGAATATATGTCCCAGACCATACACAATTGTTGGGCAATAAACTACTCGCCTGTGAAACACACATGTCTAAATTCCAGTTAAAGTTTATTAATATTTTACACAGAAGTAGGGCTTATTTGTAATTGACGGTCAGAGTATACGAATTAAATTTGAAAAATGAGCAACGAGTCCAAATAGAAACACTAAAATAAAAAATACAAATGTGTAGGTATATATATATATATATGTATTAACTATTTGGGCATTGAGCCCACAACTTAAAACATTTATACGAAAATCGCTTAAGATAATAATAGTACAGTTATTTGTAAATATAAAATTTAATTAATTTAGTTTATGAACAACTTTTGATGATTAGGGTTTATTAATATACACAGCTAATAATTAATATTATCCAACCAATTTCAGTAATTTTAGTAATTTATTGGTTAAAAAATATCAACTATTTAAAGTATACTAGTTATAATTATTTGCCAGTTATGTTGTTGTTAACAGTTTTATTTTAATATAATGTATATATAATATTTATAAATGATTATTCAAATTAAATAGTACATAAAAGTAAAAAATAAATAAAATTAAAGAAACCGCAACTAATTTAAAACTTTTTAATACAACTCTCTCTCTTTTAATTGTTTTAATAATAGTTTATCTATCTGTGTATTTTATTTGCATCCAAAATTGGTTTTAAACGTGTTACATTCATAAAATTAGTAAATTGTACCACCATTATACGATTTCATTACACAATTTATTGCCTACATAATCTACATATTTTAAATTGTGTACATATAATATAAGCAAACGCGAAAAAAATAAAAAAAATACCTGCATACGGGTTCATGGAATAAATAATGAATAATAAATACAATTGGATAATAAAATATTTTAGTATCTTTTTGTTTAAATTTAACTATTAAACCGGTTTAACATTTAATCACTGTGTGTACCCACTTACAACATGTGACCCATGAGGCATGTTCAATGAGTACATACATACATGGAAGAAATTTATACCAGTATAAAATATAATTATTTAATGCATTGAATTTTAAAAATATTCATGTTCATTGACTTTCAGGTAAAATTCCCCGTGATTTAATCGGCGTCAGGTAAACCTAACAACCGACTGTCCACTTTGGTTTGACAAAGCCAAATGTGAATTTTTTCGTATGGAAGGGAGACGCGTTGTGTTTTACTCAAGATAAAGCGCATTTTCATTCAGTGTTATTCGGGCAATCTAACGTCAATGTGCTGTATATCAATGCTTTCTTTTATGTTTGTAAATGTGTATCAACACCATTGGTCAAGCTGTCCATTTTGAGTTTAAAAAGTAAGTAATTTTTTCCAGATACTATAAAATAATAAATGGAATGATTTAATTATTCAACGCAATACCTACGCACTTAAAAATAATAATAATAATAATAATAATAATAATAATACATGTTATGCATCAATATAGGTGAGTGTCTCATTCTTAAATACACTATAAACGTTTTCATAAAATATAAATATTTAAATACATTTAAGTACTCATTCATATAAGCTTATTTTAATTTTGTTAAAAATTAACAATATTAATTTCACAAATTGATTACGATGAATGCAATAACAAAATGCTTATGCTTAAATATATACACATTATACATTCCGGATAAAAAATGAGATATTACTCAATAATGTGTATTAAACAAATAAATCAACTATGTTAAATGTAAACAATTGTGCTAAAAAAAAATATTTAGAAAATATACAAAGCAATAATAATATTTTATACCTACTCAATTTTTAAATGTTTACCGAATATTATCAGCCTTTTCAATTAATTATTTAATTCTGATTTATTTTCAAGTACTTAATCTATTTTTTTTTAACTTTATATAACATATAAAGTAATATTCAATAAAATTATCTTATCAAATTAATTTATGTTATACATTAAAATATTTACTTATGCCAACTACGCAAAATAATTAGCATTTATTTATGTCTTATATGAACTTGAATTATAATACAAATAACAGCAACAACTAGGTTATTTTTGATATTTGAACCCTTACTATCTTTGTAAGATTTATTTTATCTTTATCTTTGAAATATATTCACTACATGTTAATTATTTAATACAACCTACATACTATAAAAGGTAAAGGTTACCCATTAGCTAAAGACTACTTTACCTCAGGCTAATTATATAAAATTAATACATATGAATATCAGCACAGTTCTTAGTAGTAGTAGTAAATATTTAATATGGTTTATTACGATTATTAACTTTTATTCAATCCTGATTAATGAGTATAATTAACACGAAAAATATTTAGTATATTATTTTAATTATTTATTATATAAAAAATGTAAATAATATAAGTTTGGACTTTTTTTATCGATTAATTATATTATTTTCTAATGTAATTTTTTTATAATTAATTTATAAATATAATATATTTATATATAATAAAATATATATAATATATTTTATAATTTATTTTATATGAAAAATAGAAGTAAATTCTGTAATTTAATAAAAAAAAAATCGTCATTCATTTTTTATAAATTATATAAAATTTTTCTTTTAATAAAAGTTACAATTTTTTAACTTACCAGTTGAAATTGTAGTACTATATGATATACTTTGAATAACAAGTAAGTTTTGAAAAAATATGAATTTGAAAATCCGTTATTTTCAATATTTAGTTTTCAACAATATGAGAGGTAAAGTTCGTAGAGTCCATTTTTATTATTATTTTACTATACTTTAACTTTGGTTTAGAATAAGTATTTATTTTTTTTTAATTTGTTTATTGTTTACTACAGGTAGTTATTTTAAAATTTGTAAGTATTTAAACATTATTAGAGGTACATAGTTTTAATATTATTTTTTTATTAGAAATCGGAAATTAAATGTGCTTGGAATTCGTGCTTTATCCCTCTGAATTTTCTATACTTTTATACATAGGGTGAGAAATGTCGGCAACTTCGCTATTATTAAACTTCGACAATGATTTTAGGACATACAATTACGTGTTAGAACGGTCACGTACGGTAGTGGTTTCTTTACTGGGAACGGTCGTCTTGTTCGGTCAAATCACCGGCAACCATTCGTTTTTATACAAATGCGAAAAAGATATAATAATGCCAAGAGCTTTCTGGGGTCTTAAAATATTTAAAAAAAAAAAACATTTAAAGAACATAATAAAATATTCAGAAACCACCTCTTTTAAAAAATGTAATGAATAATTATTAAATCAATTGAAACGATATTAAATTTTAAAAACTATAATTATTTTTGAGTAGATATTTTATTTCTATAACACTGTAATTATAATTACATTTACATTATATGAATAATATAACATTAAAGACATTCTGAAATGTATAACATTTTGTAATTTACAGTTCTTATAGCTTTTTATTACATTCAGTGTCGTATCTGACTTAATTCTAAGGGGAGGGGGAGAGTAAAAGCTTACTCTAGAAAAGTGGGGGCTATATTTCTTACTTAATATAGAAACTCATTTTTTTTAAAAGTTTATATAATATTTTTAAAAACTTCCTAAAAATGTTAAGGTCTTAGACACATAAAATAATGATACAACATAAATTAGTAATTAAAAGACAATATTTATTTAAAATAATAAATAATCAACTATAGGTAACTTGCTAAATCATAAATTACAAGTTCTTTTGTAATTTTATTTTAGTAAATACGAGTATATAGTAAATACCTACACAAATATTTCCATTTATGGTGAGGAAGCAATCCCCCTTCAATTACGCATCTAATTACATTTAATAATTTCTCATTTTTTCTTAGATACCTACCTACCATTAAAACCCAAAAATGATAACACGTATGGTTAAAAATTAAAGTTTAGGCATTTTAGTCAAAAAATTGAAAATACATATTATTAAAACTAATAATCCAATTAGAGAAAATATACTTATGTAATATAAAAATTAATTCTATACCTTAAAATGTCGAAAATTATAATTACTTTACATTATGTTGTAATAAATTAATTAAGTGTCCACAAAATTGTGATCATTATTATTCATCATAAATATTTTTATTTTTAATTTGATGAGTACCTACTTATTTTTCAATTTACGGGATCAACTATATTTTAGTTTTAAATTAGATTGATACGCATAAACAAGCTTAATTTAATACTAATATTTACGATTGATTTTTAAATGATGACGCTCATTGCTCATTAGTCATTATCTTACAAAGTTTAATATATAAGCCTGTGTGGTATTTGATGTTTTTGTGAAAAGAAATATGTAGCATGAGAAATCACGTTTATTTTTTTAATTCTGAAATGACTGTATAGACTTTGGATTGATATTAGTACACCATGTACGTATGTTGGATCAATGTTTATAATATATTATGAAATAATTTTCATTTAAACAAATTTAAATATATTGTGTTTATCTGACTATTAACAAACAGCAAATGATTAATTGTATCATTCTTATATCATAATTACCTGTTCAGAGAATACTCGTAACATTAAAAAACACAACCACTAGTTCTAAAGTAATAATATTTTATTTCATATACAGTCTTTAAATACATATCGAATTTTATATTAACAGTAATAAGTGCAAAATTAGTATTAATCTTGAGAGTGCTGAAATAATTATTTTACCTCGAGGTAACCCGATCTCCACCTCCTCACCATAAAATATTTAATTTCATATTAAATAAAGTTACTTATAACAACGAAGAAAATCTATCCAATATTTTAAAAAACTATCATGATAAACCTAATTCAGGGATTTCTACTGTGTTAGCGGTGTGAAACTGATCGCTATTTCATTGAAAACATTGCTGATCTCATATGTGCGAATATTTTGACAAAACTACTAGTGCATTAATGTTTCAATACTAACTGGAAAAGATGGTTTCTCACGAATGCAAAAATTTAAAGAATTTAAATAATATTTTTAGTTTAAAATAAACTGAGGATATTAAGCATTAGAATTACCTATGTATTCCAACGATAACAGTACGTAGGTGTTGGTAGTGTAAATGATTTATGAATGTGTCACATATTAATGTTAAACGATAGAATAACATTTTACCATTAAAATTCCTATGATTATATGTTTTTATACACGATTGGACCTAAAAATATAATATTTAAAAATAAAGGTAAAGTAGATAAAATAAACTATAATAAATTGACTAATCCTACCAATCTATATTGTTATTCGTTTTGTGAAGATGCGAACGCTGGGGAAGTTAGGGGGTTTCAACTACTCACCCAAGTTTCAAAAATCTTTTTATAAAAATATAAACTAACCTACAAATTTATTAATTATTTTAAAGTTTCCTATCAAATTAACAAATAAAATATATAAATATACATATAATATAATAAGTAATAAAGTTTGATATTCAATTACCCTTTACAATTTTTCAACGCCCCCCCCTCCCGAAATGTTTTCCTGCGTTCGCCCCTGGTTTTATATTCTTGAACTAAACTAGGAAATGAATAATTTTGTAAAAAAAAGAATCATGTTATTTTTTCTATATATCATACATTATAATGTAATATCAAATATAAAAATATAAGTATACATTTTAAAAAAAAAATAAAATATGTGTTCAGTAAACGTTTACAAACAAATTAAATTTTATTGTGATTTAGACTTATGAGATAAAAATAAATGTTAATTGTGTAAATAAATATCACACAGTAATATCTCCAAAGATAATTAAAAATACGTTTCACAGTGTATATTTTATAAAATGATTACAGTTTACAATGGAGAAATTTAATTCCAACATGTCGGTACAGTTGTTGATTTGCATAGTAGTATTTTTACCATCGTGTTACAGAGGAGAAAATGAATTGAATAAAAAAAGTAAATTATGAGATTTAATCACTTTGAGTTATTCTAATTTTATTTGTAATTATTGTATGATAACAGATATACAGTTGCCTCAACAATTACTGAATCTCGAAATCCAAGATCTAGAAAATGCGATTCAATATGGTACTCAACAAATTAATATGCTCTCTCGTCATGAAGACTCACTATCATTTTCTGATGTTAATGTGAAAATCGGAAGCCCTTCGCATGGACAATTGATCGATTCTCAGCCTTCCATAGAAGCACATTTAGCATCTCGTAATGCCGAAATTCTTCTTAAAGCTTCGCAATACATCATGAATAAACATTGTTTGGGGTATAATAAACAAACAAATATTTAAATGAAACATGTAAAAATAAAATTATTATTATAGCTCTAGAATTAGTTCAATACAATGCGCTCATGAACTATCAAAAATTAAATTAGACAACACTTCAATGGGTAAGACGTGTTTATCCCAATATTACAATGAAACTATTTGCGAAGGAATAAACTTGAATTATCGAAGTGCAGATGGGGCTTGTAATAATCTAAAACATGCTTTTTGGGGGAAAGTAAATACAGCGTATAAACGTTTGTTATTCCCAGTCTACAAAGATGGTAATATTTAAAAATGTATTTTAATCCATATCCAAATGTATGTTTGATCATACGTACACTAAGTTACAATTCATATCTGTATAGGTTTAAATGCAATTAAAGAACTCCCAAATTCCAGAGAATTGAGTACCAGCCTGGTTAACGATGAAAACGCGCCCGATAGCGTAAAAACTATTGCGATGGCATTTTGGACTATTTTCATAGGGCATGATCTATCTCACACAGCGGTTTCCAGCATGTGTAGGATTAATATTTAAGTAATTAATGAATTATAATTAATGCAATGCATACATAAAATCTAGTGAAAACGAACAAATCAGTGGATTGCTGTAATGAAAACGGAGCGAAACAATCACCTCGGTATACACATACGTCGTGTGCGCCCATAATAATACCTAAAGACGATAGATTTTTTTCATCGTTACGTCGGACGTGCATGAACTACGTACGCTCAGTCCCAGCTATACGAACAGATTGTACATTTGGACCCAGAGAACAAGTATAACGAAACAGTGACGAAATACACATTTTTGTTTACTATTTATAATAATTTGAAAAATGATTCGCTAATTTGAATTTACACGTTCGTATACGTGTGTATATTTCAGTTAAACCAAGCCACTCATTATTTAGATGCATCTATGATATACGGTTCGTCTGTAAAACAAACGTTGTCCTTGAGGAAAAAATCACGTGGTCAATTATTAACGTATACCGGTGACGAAAATATGCAATACATGCCATTAACCAATAACTCGAACGCATGTCAGTCTGGTGCTACGTGTTATAAAGCCGGAGACATCAGGGTCAATGCACAGCCCCATTTGACAGCCATGCATACTCTATGGGTGAGGGAACATAATCGAATTGCCAGTCAATTAGCTCTCATAAATCCCCACTGGGATGACGAGAAAATTTTCCAAGAAACTAGAAAAATAACAATAGCTTCGATTCAGCACATTACTTATAACGAATGGTTGCCAGCTTTACTGGGTAAAAAATTTACCAAGAAAAATGATTTAGAATTATTGCTAAAAGGATACAGTAATTCTTATGATAAAACCATCGATCCATCAGTTAGCAACAGTTTTGCTACTGCAATACTACCTTTTGCTAATTCTATGTTTAATGAAACTCTTAAGTTTGTATAATTTGTTAATATAAATACATGATGTATAGTATATGTAATGGAAATTTCAATTTTTTTATAGTTTGTATTTTGAAAACCGAATGACCAATAAAAGTTTATCTCTAAAGGAACATTATAACCAACCATCAGATTTACAGATGAATTACATGGATGACCTGGTGAGAGGACTCTCCATGCAAAATACTCAAAAAATTGATATGCTGTTTACACAAACTGTATGTTATAATAACCAAATTAAATTATTTTTATTTTAATCTTATATCTTGATGTTTAATGACACTATTACACATATTGATTTGTTTTAGATTACAAATTACTTGTATAGTCATGCAGACAATAATATGTTTGGAATGGATATTGTCAGTTTGGACATACAACGTAGTCGTGATCATGGTATTCCAAGCTACACACAATTTAGAAAGTACTGTGGATTAAAAAGTATACAAAGTGTACAAGATTTTGCTCAGATTATGGTTAAAGGAGTAAATAAAAAAATATACATATTTATATATATAAATAAACTTGGTTCTAATTACTTTCTGTATGTTATATTTAGTCAACTAATAAGTTATTAAAGCAATACAAAACTTGGGATGATATTGATCTTTTGATTGGCGCATTATTTGAGAAACACGAAGATGATGCAATGGTTGGTCCAACAATGAAGTGTATTATTAGAGAACAATTTATAAGAACTAGATTGGCAGATAGATATTTTTATGATTTACCAGGGGTCTTCAAAAAACCGTAAGTATTAATTACATCGAATTTACTATATTATATATTAGTTTAGGCTAGTGACATTAAATATCTTTCAATTATTATTTCTTTAACAATAATACAATAATGTACAATCATATATTATCTATATCAAAAAAACATCTAAAAAATGTCGCTATATTTTTAGCATTTTAATTTAAATTCATTTTATTTCAATTTAATATTATTTATATTAGATCAACTAGCTGAAATCAGGAAGATGACCCTTGCCAGAGTATTTTGTGATAACAGCAATAATGTTATGAAGATGCAACAGAGAGTTTTTTTTAAACCCATATCAGATGATGATTTATTGCCATGTACTTCTCAGTTAATTCCAAAAATCAACCTCAAACATTGGTCTGATACAGCTGATGCAAATCAAAAATAATTTGAACTTGGGTATCAGTGTATAAAAGATTATTAATGTTAATGACCATTATCTGACTTTGAATTAAAATGTATGACCAATAACCAATGATAAGTTGTTATTACTATTGGCTTTATTACTGACAGTCTAAATCACCTATATTAATAGTGGTTATCGTATACATAAGTACTTAATATTACAATAAATATAAGTTTAATAAGCTGTATATTCATACAATAGTTTAAACTAATTTCTTTATAGAATTTAGACAAATTAAATTTTATTTTTTTAATAAGTTAAAACTACAGACATTTATATATTGTATTTTATAAGTATTATTATTTGGTTTTCTATGTGGATTATTGTCCAAATTTCCTATTATACCTCTGTACCATATTAATAAATTATTTAGTAGATATAATAAATGTAATATTTTAGAGAAAGTTTTTTTAGAAATGTTTAAAGAATATTTCCTTTTAAACCAGATAAGTAAAAATTAACCGAGCAATCAAATTATACTTTTAATTAGGTTGAAATCTACTGTTATACCATTCAAAAAGAAATTTTGATTGTTTTTTTAATATTTGTTTTAATTATATAAATACCTATCAACAGTATAAGATATATATATATATATATATATATATTGTGATAAAAATAGATAGTAATTTTTGATGATGACTAATTCTTCAATATCAAATTAATTTTTAGGTTCTAAGTGAAAATATTAATAATATGAGAAATGAAAAAGAAATATATATTTTAAAAATGTTTCATATTCAAAAAAAAAAAAAAAAAAATGCAGAAACAAAAACATTTTAATGCAGTAAAAATTGTTTGTATTTTTAATTTTGTTAAATATATCAAATGCAATGTAAAACTTATAATTATTATATTAATTTGTAACATAAATATATGTTATTGTTTAATACTAGATTTAGTTAAAAATCACATGGAGGTAAAAGTTTTTATTTAATAAGTTTACAGTATGTTTGTATTTTATAAATTATTTATAGAAATGTCATTTTTATTAAATAAGCTCAAATGATAAGTTGTAATATACTTAGGGATTTTTATGTGGATTTACTAATTTAAAGTGGTGAGGATAACAGAATCTCAACATTTAATGTGGAATAATGTCATAAATTCCTTTTAGCAATTACCTAGAATTAATATGACAGTTAAAAATTATCAAAAGATGTACTCAAGAGTTCTGAAGTTATTCTAACCAAATATTTAACAATTACTAGCAATTAATGACCTAATTAATTATGAAAAAAATTAAATAATGAAGTGTTGTCAAAGTAGATATTATTAATAATATGATAATAATACTGTTTATTATTACAATTTTTATTATAAAATATATGACACATTTTATGATTTAAACATAAGATTATAGTTGTATTAAATGTTAAACTTTCTTTATACTATATTATAGGTAAATATAAGGATTAAAAAAAATTAATTTAGACATGTGCACAAATATATCAAAGAACTTTATTTCAACTTCAAAATTGGGCAAACCCTTAACATAATTTGCATTTCATAACTAAAATTAAAACTATTTACATGACCACTATAGAATAGTTTTTATAAAATAAATGATTTAATGGCAAAACAATAATCATTTTCTTTAAAATAATATTACATTTCATATTTTCATATAAATTATTATAATACTTATAAAAATGGCCGAATAATAAAATACATAGTTAAAAGTAGGTAGCAGTCTATCAATAATATTCTTATAGACTTATATACATAATTTCACCTGTCTAACATATCAGTCGTATTATCTAAAGGAACATCAATTAGAAAAACAGTATTACTTTTTTCCAGCTTTTGTCTAATAGTATTTTCAAATTGTTCACGATGAGTTGCAAATTCCATAAGGTCCTTTGGTTTTGCGTTCAACCAAAATTTGTCGAATTCCCAAAATAAGTAACAATAGAATTCATTGAAATCTTCATATTCAGATGGATTGCGTTTATTATAAAAATGAGTTTTGGCTGAGCCATCGACAACTAATCCAAGAGCCATACTGGTTAAGTTTATTCCAACAATTGCAAAAGCATACCCATGAATTGGATGCATTGAACGTGATAATGCACATCTGGCTAAATACGTGTACTTAGATGCAAAATAGACCAAATTATCCAGTCCCAATATTCCCATACCACGAAAATCAGTTTTAGGATCATCGCCTTGGAATCCAATGTCTTGCCATTGCTTTGTTACCCTATTTTCTAATTTATTGTTAGGCATCAATTCATTCCATAGGAGTAATAAAGATTTTTCATGTACATCGTTGCTACAGTCATACTGAATGGCTGCACTAGTTTTTATCTCTTCCACTAGTTGCATATAAGACCATATATTGTCTACACATTGTCCTAGAACATTGGTAAATCGTTCATATTCACAATGGTCAATACGTTTGACTCGTGTAATTGTCGATACAGCATTGGGCACCAGTATAGATCGCCCAGAATAGTAATTTCGATCAGACGCTCGTGCATCCAACACGGTGATCAGGCCACGTATTTGTGGACTGCTTGAATTGCGTAAGGATTGTTCTACACTCCGCGTTCTGCATGCACCCACCGGCTGCGCATAACAAATGCGTTGCAACTCGCAAAGCTTGGTGGTCTTGCGCAAAAACCATTTGATTACTTTTCTCAAATGCCAAAATATATAACTCCGTATTAAGTAAAACCACATGATTACGAGCAAATAAATGTTCAACAATATATTTGGGTTTTGTCTGAAAGTTTGTTATATAATAGATTTGTGTCTGGGTAACTTACCAGTAGAGGATTGTGCATATCGAGCGCAGCTGGATAGATTGGTCTTACGCGTACTTTCAAACACTCGTATTCATGATGTATCTTCTTGCAGCCAAATGTTAATGTAGTTCACGGATGTATTAATGAAAGAAAAAAAAGGCTACAAGTACAAATTCGGGGACGTAGCTAACACGAAAACGGATGACGATTACTATTTACAATTATAGTTTTATCATATTTTGATATTTAGCGATTACACATCAACACGGCAAGATAATATAGGTATCTAAAACCGACAACCGTTTGGGATACGAATATTAAAACTAGTAACCACACTACAGGATATAAACTCAAGATAATACAGTGGTGCCGAGTATATAATAGTAAAAAAAAAAAAAATTAAAAAAAAGATAATACATTATGATAACCACATATATATATAACTATATTAAACAATTTAACATATATATACCGAGTTGCATGAACGTCCGTTAAACGTTAGCGCACTAACGGGTCGTTACATTTTTATTGATTCGTTAAACAATCTTTAAACAATCAATAGTTTTAACGGGCCATTAAAATATAGGTTACCAACTCATTAAACTAATGGGCGGATTTTGGCTCTTTAAATTTTAATCATTCGATAATCCTACAGTTATCACACGTACGTATTCAGGTGTCAGTAGTACCATTGATTATAAATATTATCATCACTGTACACTGTAGTTGGTCGTACTATATTTTACTTACTAGCCATAACCGAAAATAATAACAATGTCCAGTTCTGATACAAATTTATCAATTTTCGTTGATGAATTTGTTTTGGATATTTTGTATCATTTACATAGACGAAGGCTACTTAGAAATCGATCAAATCCTTTGGAGGGATTTGATGATCTCAATTTTAAGGGGGAGGGGTCGCAGCCTACCCAGTTACACCTACGATGAATGGTAGTTAATAAAATTAAACTAAAATGTACATAATTTTTAAATTTAAAAACAAGCTATCAAAGGAAACATTTGGTTTTTTATGTAATTTGATTGGAGAAGAATTATGCAATTCTAATAGAAGTTTCACGATTTCTCCAAAAATTCAAATTTTAGTAATATTACGTTATTACGCAACAGGAGCATTTCAAGTATTTAAAATAATATAATATAATACTTTAATATTTTTAATAATGGGCATAAAAGGCAATACCAAGTCAATTAGTAGCTCTTTTTCCTTTTCAGTAAAGTTTTTTCCTCTCAGCTGTTTTTGTGTATGTTCAGACATTTTTTTTATTATATAATTGAAATTATAAAAAATAAAAAAAAAACAATAAAATTAAAAAATATGTACAGAACTAAAACCCCGAAGACAGATTAAAAATTTGTAGAATTTAGCAATTATTATTATACATATTCAAAATATAAGTTTAAACAGCTGTTGATATGGTATCTAGATCATAAGATATTATCACTTTTTCTGTGATAAACTTAAATTTCTACACAAACCTCGGTTTAATACCGATATATTTTTATTGTATGATTTGTGCAACCCAAACTCTTCTGTAAAAATATTTAACGGCTCGTTAAAACTAATAAATAAATTTAATTAAAAGTTCGGTTTCATGCAACCCGGCAATAGTAACATATAGTTTAATACATATATCTTTGATGATAACAAACGATAATTATTATCAGAATAGTATTTATTCTTCCTTTCGTTATTCGTTACTCGTTACGAATTACAGCGGTTACTCAACAAAATTATGATTCCTGATACAATAAAAAATTTATTGGATGATAGTTTTGATTCATTTGACGATGTTCATTATAGTTTAGATATCACGTATCACAGACAAAATTATCTTTTCCTTCGAAAACAAACAATACTGTCCAGGAGTATTCTTAGACATTACCCAAGCTTTCGATCGTATGTGGCACGAAGGTCTCCTTTAGTAATTGAAATTTTTTCTTCCTGTTCCCTGTTATTTAATTCTAAAATCTCATTTAGAAAACCGTACATTTGTAGTACGCCACTCTAACTCGCACTCTTATTTATTTTATATTTTACAACTAATAGTATAAAATTAAATTAATAAAAAAAATATAGCTTTATTAAAATATTTTTAAATTGAAAATTCCAATTTTCTCTCTTTCATTGATACAAACTCGTCAATTACAGCAGATGGATTTTCTTTGAATATTCCACTTATTTCTCTCTCAATAGACAGCAAAGTTAAATTATTTAGTCTGCTACTTGTCATCGTTGACCTTAGATATGTTTTTACACTTTTTATCGTCGAGAAACTCCTTTCTATACGTGAACACAAACTTGCATCACAATTTTCACTATTGAATTTTTCTTTTCATTGTTTTCGATGTTCTCGTAGTTCGATATCTTGCCGTGCACAATATAAAACACACTCTATTACACTTGTTAAAATAGCTCGATTTTTTATAACTTGCTCCTTGAATTGTTTATTTATTTGAGTCGAAACTGATCCAGTTTTTTTGGTTGATGGCCATGCGCCATATTTAAATATTGCATTTTTATGTGAAGTAGTATTATCATGTTTTTTAGTCATATTACTTATATTTTTCCAATCAGAATATCTACCATTAATTAGAACATCTTTTTCAATTTGTGAATGAGAAGGAAAATGACGACAATAATAACAACAAAATACGGCATTCATCTTAATTGAGTACGAGGAAAACTGATCACAGGTCGTACAGCGGTATCCTCACAAGCTACACTAATATAAAAAATGTTTAAATTCAACTGTTTATTTGTATATGATATTGGTGTACGCACACTTGATCCAAGGTCATTAGGCTCAGAAACCGAAACATTGAAACAACAGTTGATTTTAAATTACCTGATGTGATTAAAAAACATTTCATTTTTCGAAAATGAGCGACGCGACAGACTAAATAAAAGTAAAAGCATATTTCGCTTTTAGGCTCGGGCCACACTATGCGTTTTGTCGGTTGCCGATAATCCGGAACCGATCGGTAAACGACCGCAACATCCATAAATAACATATAAATAACTAATTAGCCGCATTTTCGGGGCCACACTGATCGATTCAGCTAACCGATTTAAAACTCGTCGGGACGAACCGCAACGTGTTGCAGTTTGGCATTGCCGATGCGTTTCGGCAAGTACTTCAAAACACTTTATTTCGTATTGTGCCGACCAAACTTGCGGATTATCGGTTGCGGTTTACCAATACACATTTCGTCGAAATTAAATCATTTAAAATATTGTATACATGTTTAAGGTTTCTATTCTATATTAGTTTATAAAATAATATAATTATCATGAAAAGTCTACAATCTGATTATTATGATAGGTCTATCTTTAGCAGTATATAGTAATAATATAATAATAAACCAGCTAAATTTCGTTGAAATCAAATATAATATCACAGTAGTCTAATATTTCCAAGAACATATTATTTTGAATTAAAATATTTTCCGCGCTTTTTAAATCGGCAACTAATAAAACGCGTAGTGTGGTCGGTCTTCCCGATTGCGGTTTATCGGGATGCGGTTCATCGGCAACCGACAAAACGCATAGTGTGGCCCAAGCCTAATACTAATACCATTGATAAATACTAGTATTTATAATCAATGGTTGTACTAAAGGCGTTCGCAGTGACGCAGTGCGATTAATATTAAACTAATCGACAATAGCAAGCGTATCTATCCGACTACAAATTATATTACAGTATCGTTATTTTTGGAAATAATCGTCAATTGAATGGATAAGATTAATATCTATCATATTGGTAATTATAGTTGATAATATTCAGGTAACGGGCAATACGGGATGTCGGGCTATAATATTATATTATACACTGACTTTGATGCACTATTAATTTCGTCGAATGTCGATTAACAGGAATTGATTGGTTATTAAACCACAACACTCAAAATAGAAGACGTGTCATTGACTGATTTGCAGAACCGATTAAAAACCATCGGGATTTAATTATGTTAATTAAAACCGTATTTACAATGTATTAATTATATTATTTTAAATACATATTATAGTCATATACACTACACATTTAATGGGATAAAAAAAATTGTTTTTTTTTTTTTGGAAAAAAGTGGGTAGGCTCGAGCCTACCAGGCCTACCCGCTGGCTACGCCACTGCGTGGAACGTGGGTACTGAGTAATGGGTACCTATAATAAAGTTATTTATATATAATTCATAAATATGTCATTAATAAGTAACAACACTAGCAAAATATATAGCACACTATTAACGATGGAGAGGTACTTGTCCATTAGCAAGATTATTATTTCTATAGTATCATAGTACCAAATACCAATATAAAAAAAAAACGGTAATTTCAAGTATTTAAAGAAAATCCATTGTGTTTGACTATGGAGATTGTTAACACTAATTTATGATACTATACTATACCCGATTTCAGCTGCCTAGTTTTAATGTTCCACCTTAAGGTATGATTCCTTAGAACGCGTCTAGAAACGCGCGGCTAAAGGTACGGTTTCCAAGCTGCGGCTGGCCGTGCAACGGCACACGTAGTTTGACTGTGCTATTTAAAATTGCAGAGCGTGGTTTCCAACGTGCGATCGACGATTGCGTGATTTAAATAGTCGTTGCGGCTCGCGGCTATAGTGGTCTGGTAGCAGTACATTGCGTGAATCGTGGTGCGTGTCATATAGTGTTTTATTGTATTTTTTGCATTTTAATTAAAAACTATGTCAAAATCTACATTTTCGTCGAAC